ATTAAAACGACTCGGCATCGAACGCGTTCGTACAACAGCATACAATCCAAAAGCGAACGGTATGATTGAACGACTACATCGCACCTTAAAAGCAGCTATCATGGCAAAATGTATGGATAACACACAATGGGTACAGCAATTACCGTTAGTTCTACTAGGCTTACGTACAGCTATCAAATTAGACCTAGGCTATAGCCCCTCACAATTTTTATACGGAACTAGTCTTAGATTGCCAGGTGATTTATTCATAACAAACTATAAAACACCGGTAAATACACGTGAATACATAAGTAATTTAGCCCAGTCACTTTCAGACTTACAAGGTGCCTCAGAATCAACTTCTCACAACAAAGGCAATAAAATATTTATTCATAACAACTTAAGTTCATGTTCACACGTCTTCTTAAGAAACGAAACTAGAAAATCATTGATTCCACCTTATGAAGGGCCTTTTAAAGTCATGTCACGCCACTCAAAGTATTTTAAGATCGATTACAACGGCAAACACTTGACTGTGTCACTTGATCGACTCAAACCAGCTTATCTTTTAATAACTGACGAAATGTCGGTCCCATGCCATAGTCACATCACGGAGCCATTAAATATCGAATCACCGAATGCTGTAACAACAAAACCACTTAATACGCCACAGCCTGTGTTTACACGATCGGGTCGCGCAGTTAAGAAAACTGTGAGATTCGACTTATAGAAAGAAGCATAACCACCAACGTCACAATCTTCTTGGAGAGTCTGGGGCTCTATTTTTGAATCATTCGTCTCGCGTCGAGCGCTCGTTTTCTTCTATCACTCGCATACAACGTTCGCTAAGCGACGAGTGGTTCATACCACTCGTTGCAGTCGAGCGATTTAGAAATGGCGAATTTGTTAAGTCGAACGAAAATCAGTAGAAAACGAGCGCTCGACGCGAGACGAATGATTCAAAAATAGAGCCCCTGGTCGAGCTTCAAGACTCGATTTTGTCTTAGCTGCAGTTAAGTGGTCAGCTCATCGATAAAGCAGTATTGCAACATATTTCTACAGTCTACAGTTTAACCAATTTATTAAATACGCCAAAGTGTCAGTGCAAAAAACAAAGTGAACTGTATAATTAATGAACTACAACTATAACTATTTTTTTATATAAAGTATAATTTTAATTTTTAAGCTTAACCTAGGTTTTTAATTGAAATTTATTTTTACAAATTTAGTTCTGGAAATTAATTAATTTTACTTTATATCGAATCATATTCTTATCGTCCCATAAGAGAGATGAATATTGTACACAACCTTTGTTCTAAAAATAGACTTCTATAGCAACTCATCGTAGCAAACGCAATGTAGACTTCACGCTAGTAGTAAAGTGATAAGAATATGTAACGAGTTGTTTAATTAGTTTTTATACGACATATGGGTAGTTTTTTAAATATTTTTATATAAAATCATATCTTTTTTTGTTTTTAACATTAATCCCTTTGATTTTTCTAAGGGGGAGGACTGTGGCACATCTGTTTTATAATCTTTGTCGACCACTCTGTGGCAACGTAATCTATGATATTTTGTATTTTGTAAGTGGCACTTCAACATCAAATAGTCTGAAAGTAAACTCATAATTGTGAACACGTTTATTTATTTTACCGATCCTTCGTATAAATAGAGTCAGATAGTAAACTTATCAATAAGTTAAATATCAACCTATATACTATTAAATAAAACACATAACATTTCGGTAAAGTGGTGACCCAATACAATAATCGGTAAAGCTTGTTATTTACGCGAGTATAGTTTAATGTCTTTCCTTGTTTATTACAGATTTCAATGCAAACAGATGAGAAGACTTTCAAATTAATGGACAAAAAAAATTATAGGTATATTTATATATGTTATCTATGGGTAATTTTTTTAACCAACTAAAATTAATTTTGTTTGTTATGTTTCAGTTGGAATTTATACTAATAAAAATTATTGCATAAACTGAAAATTGAATAAAATAATAATAATATATAAGTAAATGCTTTCTTTTCATGGATACAGATATAAGATATTTAAGTTGCTGAAAAATTTTACAGATAAATATATTCCAAATATTTTGTATACAAAAGCTGTCAAATGGTGTTTTTATGTGTTGTTAAAAAAGCTTTTGTTGAAAGACACTATTTAAATATGATTTTAGACCCATGGACTTAAGATCTTGTATCAAATCAAACAAACCCAAACTCAACGGGGTTGAGGTTATTAATAAAAAAGTTCCCATGGTCACCTTTCATCATAAAACACTGCATATTATCTCGGATCAAGGTCTTTCTAACCAAAATAACATGAAAACTCAATGGGGTCAATTAGTTTAATTATAAAGATCGCAAAGTTATCAGAGCAGCTCCACTCCATATAAATATTGCACCGTCGCCTAAAGGTATATCTTAGTGAAATTTTAAATCCGTTAGAATCAAGTAAGAACCATAATTTTCAATTTCTAAAACGCTTGCAAAATCCCCTGAAACAATTTTCAAAAAATATCAAGCAACTGAAATGACTTATTTTATTTATGAACATCAACAAACTTCGTTTCAAAGTAAATATAAGGTATCGATTATAAATATGGTTGGTATATTGTACTAATTAGGCTGATTATAAGTATGCCCGCATTATTGCTCTTCTCTTTGGTGTGTTGTCATCCGCTGTCGCGTGGCCCTCGGTTGGCCGGCATCGTAGTGCTTGATACCCGATGGTAAAACGGGTATAGAGAAAGACCAGGGAGCTCTTAGATCACATGAGTTTATTTACTTATTTACCACCAAAAATATATACTTAAAAAATATAAACAGCACCGACAATAGCTTTACGAAGAGTTGATTTTCAATATATAATAACAATAGACGCGCATGTGCAGAACAGATTGTCAAAATGACAATATTTAAATTTAAATTAATTAAAAAAATCTTAAACCAAGAAGGTCTCCCTCAACAGTGCTCATGTGTGTCTCTAATTAAAAAAAACAATAAACAAAAAGACCGATTATTTATAATCGATATATATACCCATTTTCGTACAGCTCTAAACTGACGTTGACATTGGATTGATGCAAGAAGACAGTTGCAGCATGAAGCGCATTTTTTAAATTAGTTGTTTAACGCTTCAGTGGCATTCATACAGCCACTTCTTTAGTACATTGTTTTTTAACAGATATATCTTTCATATTCCATTTTATAAAAAAAAAATTACATTTATAATATTTAATCAGTTTTGCATTCACGATGCTCTACTGAGAAATATTTTAATGAAAAAGACTTAAAAAATCCACTTTGGGATGGCACTCAAACCTATTTCATCAACGTTCAGGCAAATCTTTTTTTAAATATATCTTTTGGCTGTTTAAACTTTCGATAAAGATGAAATAATATACATCTTACATTTTAAATCAAAATTATACAACGTGTCCCAAAATTCAACGATAAGCGGGCGCCAAGAGGTAGACCTGCTCATGTGTACTTATGGAAAAATAAGAAAATTTAAGGAAAAAATCTTATTAATCTTTTTTATTATAAAATTAAATTCGAAAATCTTCGAAAATTTACACCTTTTATGATATTTTCAACTACCACGACCACAACTTCTCAATTATGTTCAATCTTTTTTTGGTATCGGATACCTAAGTAGCACTACTATTCGCTACAACTCTTAAAAACACCAAAATGTCCGCAGTTTTTACACAAAAAACAATGAAAATGTATTTTTTCCTTAAATTTTCACAGATTTTTACGTTCCGTAATCTTTGACTTACGGTCTTGTAAAAAAAAAGTATGGACACCACTGTGGCAAGTTGTTTTTAAAATTGACTGAACTCATCAAGATTCCAAAATGGTATAATTATCTAAGATAACTAGTCATAGTAAAAAAATATGCACACCATTTGTAAACCAAGAGTATTCCGGGCGTTGGATTGGGCGACTTGGTCCTATCTTATGGCCACCCCGATCACCCGACCTAAACCCCCTGGACTTTTTCTATTGGGGTTGTCTCAAAGACAAAATCTATGAAAAACCCATTACGACATTGGACGAGCTTCGGCAAAAAATTAGTCAGGCTGCGTCACATATCAATGCTAAAATGCACGAAAAATAAAACGCTCTTTTTTAAGGCGATGTCGTGCATGTATTAATGCCGGTGGAAAACAATTTGAACGTTTACTGTAATGTTAATTATTAATAAATGAATGAGACTAAAACTCACTATTGTTTTATTTCAATATTTTTTTTAAATATTAAAACATTTCGGAACAGTACAATTTATTACTCACAACTTTGGTTCTTGATTCTAAATGGTATGATTTTTAGTTTGTTGCTAGTTATCATGAAGTATTATACCATTATGGAATCTTCATGAGCTGCGTCAATTTTAAAAACAACTTGCCGCAGTAGTGTTCATACTTTTTTTCTACATGACTGTGAGTCAAAGAGTACGGAACGTAAAAATCTGTGAAAATTTAAGGAAAAAAATACATTTTGATTGTTTTTTGTGTAAATACTGTGGGCATTTTGGTGTTTTTAACAGTTGTAGCGAATATTAGTACTACTTGGGTATCCGATACCAAAAAAAGATTGAACATAATTGAGAAGTTGTGGTCGTGGTAGTTGAAAATATCATAAAAGGTGTAAATTTTCGAATTTTATTTTATAATAAAAAAGATTAATAAGATATAATTTTTTTCTTATTTTTCCATAAGTACACATGAGCAGGTCTACCTCTTGGCGCCCGCTTATCGTTGAATTTTGGGACACGTTGTATATATTTATAATCATTATGCTTCTTCGCTTTCATTCATTCTTATGAGGAAGTATTTAATATCGGGTATCGGGATATCGGGAACAAAGGTTTTTTTAAATACTTCCTCATTGACATTTAGATCCTACAATTTGTGCTGCCAACTAGTTACAAAAATTTTAGTAATTTCTTAATTTTTTTTAAATAGTCCCTCATTCCAAGAGCATCCATAATGTTCAGTAATTTACGCCTGTCACACCATCTGTCAAATTTTATTTACTCTTTAGAAGAGACTGAATCAGGAGTATGTATTTTACAAAGTAAACTTTACGAATATTTATAAAATCAAAATGTATTGAGGCTTTTAACGTTATTACCTACGCTGTGTCATCACGAAATGGACTAATGGGGTGCTTTCATAGTAAAAAGGAGTCTTCGGACATTCATCCTAATGTTTACCGGGTAATGAACATAGACGAAAATGGAGCAGAGTTATGTTCAGGACAGCTTGAAATTACAGAATCCGATATTATACTGTATCGTGAAGGACGTGATTCCACTGTTTGGCCTTTACACTCACTCAGGAGATATGGATTCGAAGGCGAAATATTCAGTTTTGAATCAGGTATTTATGCAGTTATATAATTGTTTCAAATTTAAATGTAGAATTCCTGTTTGAAGTTGGTAGTTGTTTTGATAAATATATATCTTAATAAATATGAAAAAAAAAAACAATATGATAGAATTAATAATTGTCAAAGAAAGCAGTATTTGGCTAACAGAACATTTACATTGACAATTAGTTTTAAAATTAGTTTGTATTCCATATTATTTGGTAGCTGTTAGCAATGACTTTTAAAAAATGGCTAAATATTGAATACAGCAAAAGCTAAAAAGGTTAGAATTTATTGAAACAAAGTGTGACAAATGTTAGTTTAGCTTTATAAAACTAAGGAATGTATAAATAATAAATGCTTATATTAAGTCACCTTCAGAAAAGTATAGTGTACAGTTATATGATTTCAAATATGACAAGTGCTAATTTTATATATTTTATTTTGATTACCAAGTCTCATAAGAGCTCAATCTTAAAAATTATAACATAAACAATACAATAATAGATAGATATTCCTCTTAGATGCAGTAGATTGTTTATTACTTTTTTACTTTTACTGAGAATTCATTAATGTTTATATTTCAATTATATGATATTATGCATTTCATAACAATTAACTCATTTTATTGTGTACAAACTGAGCATAATTTAAACTTTTTTTACACTTATAAACTTCAATATACATATTAGTTTTATCAAATTTAAAGCCAATAAATTATAATACCATTAGTATGTACATATATATATTATTGCTTTCCTCTGCTTATATGTATTCTTTATTTTTTTAAATTTTAATTTATTAATAAGTTAGTATTTTTTATTTATTAATAAGTATTCTAATTTCAGGTAGGAGATGTGAAACTGGGGAAGGTATATATGCATTCAGATGCCGAAGAGCATCCTTATTGTTTCATACTTTACAACAACAAATTCAACTACGAAATGCTATCCACGATTCTGTGCCATACCCAGTGTCACATATGACTCCATCCCCACAAGGTAGACAAACACTTCAAGCAAGTGTTGTTCACAGATCTTCCATAGATAATGGGCAACCTGAAGGTAATAATAGACCTACCACTAATAATAACATTTCAAATATTACCTCTAATATCGGTGTTCCCAGGCCTGTGACTCAGGCAATAAGATCTACATCAAGTGCAGATATATTGGAAGTTATGCCCTTGTATCCCCGTTCTCAAGCAAATGGAAACCATGTGACAAATTTGTATCAAGTACGAGATTTTAAAAGAGAACATAACAATAATAATCAAGCAGATACTACTATTACAGTTGATACTCGCCATGTCTACAGTAATGATCTTACTAGAGACTTGGCAATTCTCAGAAATACTTTACGACAAGAAACTGCATTAAATACAATGAGAGATATTGAAGATGAAACACGTTTTCTTGAAGGTAGATACTTAAATGAAAATGTCCCTAAAAACAATACCCAAGGTACTGATCCTCTGTCTCCTACTTTGAGCAATAATAGTGAGCATTATGCACAATTGAGTGTAGAGCAACAGGAATTAGCTCGATTATATGTAAATGTTGCACCCACCGAGACCAACACTCATGACAAGGGTAAAACTGAATCTGTTCCTCTTACACCACTTACACCAAAACAAGTAGAATATTGTAATTTACCTGTTGGATTAAAGCCAGAAACAAACACATATGCCAATTTAACACTGGGTGATATGGCTGATAGTGTGAAAAATGTTAAACAATTTTTACATTTCAATGCCACATTAGAATATAATCAAAAGTTTTCTGAATCAGATACCTTTGCTTCAATGTCACCTGTGGAAGAGATGGAAGTCAACTATGCTATATTAGATATAGATTGTAATAAAGATACTTTAAAAAGTACAAAGGATCTTAAATCTCCAGAGAGTCAATCACATACTAGCTCAAGAAATGAAAGCACTGTATCATGTTCTTCACAGTCAAGATGTAGAGTTATATCTCAAAGTAGTGTAGAAAAATATAACACAGCAACATCTACTCCACTAGCTGCTATTGGATATACAACTATTGATTTTGATAAAACTGTTGCTTTGACTTCTGTAGCTGCTGGAAATGAAGCTGAAATGGAGAGTTCCCGGAGAGCAAGACACAATTCATGCAATATTTTAATGCCTGGAATTTTAACTTTTGAAAAAGGTAAACTTAGTAACTAAATGCATCATCAGATATTCATAGAATAATTTAAGGTATGTGCCAAAAACTATATTTTACATAACATTTAAGTTATCATAATGTAAACCTAGTATAGTTAGATGTATATTGTATAATATTGCCAAAGAAAGAAATGAACACATTACACCAATTTAGCTAGTGAGAATAATTTTATGGACAAGTTTCAGTCTTACAAAGTTTTTAATCTAAGGTATTATGATGTGCACTCATGTTGTTATGTTTATCTATGCAGTAATTTCGTGAATTGCAGTTTTAAATTAGCATGATATAAACATTTATTTCATGATTTTTAGTGATATTGATATTTTTTATATAATAGGGAACTATAAAAATATGATGTATCTGTAAATAACAATATTTAACATAATAACAGTCTTAGATTAATTTTGTTTATTTGGCGGACATAGGGTATAATTATGCAGGCGAAGTCTCGGGGAAACAGCTAGTTTGGCAGAAATTGGTTCACAATGCAGAAGAAATCGATGAACATACCCTACCCCTATATATATACTTTACTAATTGATGCCTACTATGACTCATAAAAAATACACATCAAAGAGTATAGTATATATGCATACTCGTTTAACATAAAAAAATATTCTTTTCAAATTTCGAATGGATGCTAAATACGCAATCTTATCGATTTTAAAGTTGGTTAAAAAAATTACCAACTACGAGTAATTTAGACGCCGTAATTTTTAGCGCACTTATGGTGACGTCGAAGAACATGGCTAGAGATATGACATTTTAAATCAATATGGATTTTCAGTGATTAACAACAAATCATTTCTTTTAGAGTATAATAGTTTTTTTTCATAATCATATTTTACCAAATTGGTGAAATAAAAATAAAAGTCTAAAACATCATTTAAATCTAAATAATCTATGAGTGATAGTTCTTAATACATGAGTGCACATACGAAATTAACAAAAACCAAACGATCAAGCTTTAAGTTGTTGTGGCTTTGTATAATATAATAATATAAGAATTTTTATGTTAAAAATATTAGCGTTAATGCAATAATAAAAAATTTTTCAACGCTAACCAACAGGAGCCATACATTTCAAGGTAATCTAGACAAAGAAAGAAATTGTTTGTATGATTGTGAGAGTTATGGATGTTTTTTTTAACACAGTTAATATGTAATGTAATACTTTAAGTATCTACAGAAAATTAACAGGAAACTACAACTAATTTTAAAAATGATTCAGTATTTAATTTTCAATTCATGACTTTTTGCCTCGAGTGTTCCTATTACCTTAGGTCATGATATTAAACGTTGGAGTGGGTAAACAAACCACTTTGTGAAATGTGGCACCTATATAGGAGTTAGAAGTTCTGCCCGACATCGGATAGATTGCTCAAGACTTCCCTCAGCAGCAAAGCGTTGAAAAGTTTTAAGAGGATATTATAATACTATTTTTGGTGTGCAATAAAATAAGTACGCGCATTAGTTAAGTTAAATATATTTAGATAAATGAATACCTGATAATTCCAATAGGGATGACGATTGGTTAAAAAAAAGGAATTCTATTTAGTCCCGTCAGTCAGATAAGAGAAAAATAAACAAGAAATGGTTTAGATAATAAGCATTAAAATTGAGGAGTGGGGGATCGCTACGTCACAGTTTTGTAGAGAATGTACAAAAGCGTGACGTCATGCGAAACTTCAACCCAATGTATCGCCGTAATTTATTGATATTCTTCAATAATTTCAATTGTTTATGGACAAACAGACAAAAATCAGTCGTCATCCCAATTAGAAATGATGTAATTTTGATATTGTTAGATTTAAATCTTCTGTCAAAAATGATGGGAGTATTTAGAGAACGTGTAGGTGTCATATCATGCCTGAAGTAAGGTGCCCGCCTTTAGGTAGAGCGACAGCGCCGCTTTCTCAATATGATTTCTTGACTAATTGAGTCCTCAATTTTGTTAGTCCTTGAAATCCGTGTAAACGAAATTGGGACAAATTGTAAAAGAACATGTGTACGTAGTTTCGGAGATAAATGAATCTGTGGCGCTGCTGTGGAGATCCGCCCATAAAAATGGTTATGGTAATACCCGAAAATAGGCCAAGTGTGGCTTGGACTCGCTCATTATAAAACAATATAGTCCTAAAAAGAAGATTTTACAAAAGGAGGATTTACAAAATATATGATGCCCAGGCCAAAATTTTGTGTTACATTGTGTTGTTCCATTTAACGACGTTATAGTCCATTAAAGTTGTGGGCATTCCCATCGTGTCCCTGGTGGAACCGCGCTTGGTCAGCACCAGAGCTAAAACGTGTATGTTCATAATATATTTCAAAAAGGTAGTTTACCATCATATCGTCAATCTAGGACAAAGAGATAATAATTTACAAAATTATTTTTAGAAATATTTACTTGATAATGTGGATCTTGCTGATAAAGCGTCAAAAAGCTTTATTCATTTCTGAAATTGCGGGTCTCTATTTTGGCACAGACTACTAAATTGCACACTAAACGAGTCCAGAGTCTTAAATTCAAGAGAAAGTTGCTGCCGTGCCTCACTAACGGACACTGAACTAATTTTAATTGTTCCATTAAAAAGTCTAAAGACACGTAGTTTTTTATAAGTAACAACGAAGGTGAACCTAAAAGGGTTACAATAATTTTAAATGATAATTTTTTAGCTAATTATACAAAATAATATTTGTTTATATACGGTTTCTTTTGTTTTATCTTTTTTCAGTAATAAAATGTTTTATTTTAACGCGACTTTAGTCTAATGAGCCACTAATGACCTACGAACAGTTCTAAGTAATCTCATGATATTGTTTTGAGACAAAAAATATTCAATAATAACTATTGCATGCACACTAGCGGAAAGTCGACTTTTTTAATTCAGATGGGGTGAACTGTACTTTGAGAGTTAAACTAAAATGACACACCCACCTATTGCATGATAAATTGATTACAGATGATATTTCCAAAGCATTTAGTTTAGATTATGTAGTCTGTAACTGCCAAAGTGTGTGATAATTTTTTTATTAATGATTAGTAGGATATGCAGAAAATGTTAAGACCATGTTTTAAACGTAGCGGCATCAGAGCTAATTTAAGTGTAACAAATTTAAGATATACTCACAATATTTTAGCTACCGATTTTATTTCAAAGTCGTGTTCTATTAAAACTTATCTGATAAGATAGAAACATGAATTACTGTCAGGTATTCAAAATTTTATAAAGCGAAGCTGAAGTATTTCCAAAATGAGCGTTTAGTTGGCTGGTACCACTACAACTCTAGTTTGACAAGTATATCCGAGACATGCATGATTGAAAGTGATAATTAAACGTAATTCATGTTATTAATAATGTCAGTAGAATCTGTACAACAGGCGGGATTCATTCTCAAATATAATATTTCTTATTTGTCTCTGCCTCCAGTTTCTGCATATAAACTTATCCTCTTGCAGCCCGGTTTTTAAAAAAGTACTCGCGAACAAGACCCAGAGTCCTAATACTAGAACAAATTTAATATAGTCCTGAATGGCCAGATCAAAATTTTTCATATCTCTGTAACCACAATAAATAAAGGTGTCATATTTTAGGGGCACTTAAACATTGAAATTAAGCTTGGCAGATGACCGAAAATATTTAAGACCAAGTCGCTACTTTAAAACTTGCGCCGTCACTGCAAAGTCATTTTGTTCTAGTATTAGTACTTTGGACTTCAGGAAGTTATAAATAATGAGATAAGAAATAAAATGTTATATTGGGTCGTATTCGTAAAAAAAACTTGCAAAATATCAAAGAAATCCCTTTGGTTGGCAGTCGTGTTGTATTAATGACGATGAAGGACATCCTCTTAAACATCTCTTTTTCGTCTATCAATTAAAAATTTGCGGCTAAAGTAAGGTTTTGGTAATATTTTGCAAGTTCAATGTCTTCTAATGTGACAAAATTTGTTTTTATGTTTCATCTTTGATTAAAAAACTAGATACAGCATCAAATTTTCCTACAAATTTGTTCTCCAAAAAAAAAAAAAAACAACTTTCGTTGCCTTTAAAAAAAATTGTGGCACATCAATGATTAATCAGATTCTTCACAAAGAGCGTTGCTCTAAAAGTATAGACAACCATTAGCGTGCCACTCTTTTAATAGGTAACTGTTAGATTAAAACAATAACAGGTGACGATATATCAACATCGGCTGAGTAATTGTTTGTTCCTAGTACTCTCTAGTTTCCTGATAATATAAATATGTTCATGTAAACCATATATGTACCATTATATCTCTCATCCTTTTAAGACAGGAAATTTATTTTTGAATTTTTTATAGATACCTTAGAATATATGTGTTAAAAACATTATTACTTGGTAGTAATGACGCGTTAATGTTGTATCTAGAGATTTTAATCAGTTTTAATTTGTTATCTCTTTAAACAATTTATATTTATTGTATATACCAATATAAAATTAATTTATTATTTAAATATACAAAAAAAAATATTTTGTGTAGACTGCAGTTGCATTTATGTATGTACCTTTAAAAATAAAAGGGGAATAAAGTAATCTAAATGTTTTCTTTAATCAATTCCTAAAAAGAGATGGAAAAGGACTGTAATCCGCGTGTTCTTATTCTGTTATATAGCACGTTTTAGCATCAAGCGCTTGCACAACAAATATTTTGGAAGTGATAATTTACTACTTATGTATTACATAATAACATTTTTGTTCATAAAATTACGAGCTCTACCATTCGCCAGGTTAGCTTAATAAACGCTACAGACTACAGTAAAGTGAAAATCATCATATTATATGTCAATTTAAGAGAATTAGAATAACGCTACCTGCCCGAATAGAATAATAAGACATAATAGGAAACTCAAAAGGGGCGGAAGAAACCAGGCCCCTTTGCAGGATACCGCGGTTCTTCCCATCTGCGTGAGGTGTATCGCAGCCGGTTTTACCAGTTAGGCCTTCCAAATTAACCTGCTCTTTCCAGGGCGGGGTGGTCAGAGAGCCCTGTTTTAAGGCTTAAGGGGCATTACCCCAGCATTATTAAAAAAGGGATGTTCAAAAGGATTTTCAGATTAAAAGACTTATGAGGAATTAAAATTAGATAACCATATTTATTTTAAAAAATTGCACGATTAATTATGTAGTACCACAGATAATACAACATTATCCTACTTATTAATAGAAGTAATATAACAAGTTTACAGTTTTTCTAAAACCTCACAATTTTCAATAATAAGTTCAGCCATTTTGATATTTTGTGAATTTGATGGTATATCCAAAGTTTTTTTATCTATTTGTAAAAGTAACTTTTGAAGCACCGTTTTCGTAGTTACCAAAGAAGGATGCGCCGGAATGGACGTGTCTAGTACCTGGAATAATGATCTTATTTCAGAACGTACAATCTTAAAATAAAAACACCAATTGCGAGACGACCCGTGCATGAGAGTTCTGTACCATTATCCATACAAACTGCAAGAAATATCACGTTTGAGGTGTGGGATCCCCTATAAATATTTGTTTTTGAATTGTCGTTATAGCGATTTCAACCGTGGTATTTATACTACTGTTCAGGAGATACCGACCAACGGACAGCGGAATCTTAGTAATAGAGTCCTTTCTAATTCTTTGGGGACTTATTTTTCACGTTTTTGAAGTAGATTTTATTTTTAAATAAGGTACTCGATGATTTTTTACGTATAATTTCATTCTTGTGTAAAGGATTTGTGTTTTTATTTGTCTTGGTATAGGTGTCTACCACAGAACACGGAAAAAGAGGTTAGAAAGGCAATCATGCATCCTTTGTACAAAAACCGATGTCGCCAGTCTTGCCCCACTTTTAGTCCGCCGTACATCAGATGAAATATCAGACCAATTATACAAAAGATATGCACACACTTGCATTTTTAACATGCCAATCAGAACGCTCCAATATAACTATAACCAATCACGCTCAACCATAACAGACATCTATAGAGCGCAATAAACGTGTAAAGGCCATTTTAATTTGACATATCACACTAGTGATTGGCATAAAGTTATTTACTATCGATATTGAAAAACAACAAGTCAATTAATTGAAAGGATACTATTTTTTCTTTAGATATTAATTCTTAATTAGTTGGTTGATTCAATAAGAAATATTTAAATTACTAATGAACTAACATTGAATCGGTACTAGTCGAGCTTAAATATGTTTGTTTATTAATAATAATAGTAGGTATTTTTTACGTTACGTTACTCGATTTCGTATCAAGTAAACAGATAAGATCGGCAACATCGCTTAAATGAAACTAGTAATATTGACAAACAAGATAATGTAAATAAATATATACAAAACAAAAAAAAATACTAACAGTACAATAAATGCTACTGGAACTTATTCTGAACGGATTTCGATGATTTAAAAAGTATTGTTGTTAATGGTTCAAAATAAAATAAAAAAAACTAATTTTCTGTTACAATATTAAGAATATAAAAACAGACTTATTACCACACTCATTATTAAATTAATATACAAAAGCATACCAAAGAAAGTAATATGGTTAATCTCTGATTACCACTATTTTTATCGTCCATATTTTTATTTAGTTTTTACTACCTAACATACCAAAAAACGATAAAATGTTTCCAGGCACTTCACTACCCATCTATCGTAATCAATTATGTTGCCATTTAAAATGGTGATTTCGCGATGTTCTTTACATTACGTACTTAGTACGACGCAATGTAATAAATATGCGCACTTCTCCAGCAATGTATGTTTTCTTGGAAATATTTTTTGTGATTCACACTTTTAATAACATTTCACGAATTTCGACTAAAAATACTAAATTTGAGAAGTGTTCTACTTACTAATGGAAAGAAATCCTTCCTTTGGACCTACTTGAGGATGGGCTTCTTGTTTTGCAATTAATAACTGCGCAAGTCGACATTTTTAACACTTTTAGTGGCGTGTTTCACAGTACTTACAGCGCGCGCGTTCGTGAATAACTAAACATCGCGATCGCGTGGTGAAGGCACAATCCTGTACGTTTGTCCAGGATCGTGGCTACACTGCCACGCACACAAGGCCCTTCTAACGTCTTTCTGTGTTCTGTGGTGTCTACCAACTCATAAGGAAATCGTCGTGTCAACTAATTAAGGGATATTAGGATTATGATAATTATTAATAATACAATAAATAACTCGTACGAATTAACATGACACCTATTCTATTTGTTCTCTAACGAAAATTCGGAATATTTCGATTCTAAAAGTTATTCAGAATATACATAAGTCCTTATAATTTTGGTTAATTTATATCCGTGAAGATTATCTGTGCATGAGAGGCAGTGTCAGGTCCTACCTCCGCTGTTAGAACGTATTAGCATTCCGAAAACAGGCGAATTTCGTTTTCAGAGAAATAGAATAGGCCTTCATATATAATAATTATGTACATATAGTAATCTAAGTAACTAAACGAAATTTTGATACAACAACGCTACAAAAGAGAACAACAGGTCGTCGGTTAGTCAATAGGAATTTGTACTTACTGTGGTTTGAAGACGTTTATAAAGATTAGGTGATACAGAGACTATCCATTCAGGTTGATTACTGGACTGTTCTAAACTCCTCTTCAACCTTTGAATGCTTATGGCCAATATCGATGGAAGAACTGATTCTGGTACTTTTACAAAGTTCAGTTCGTTTTCTGTTAATGTGTCATAACCCAAATGATACAAAGCAATAATCTGTGAAAAAAATAATATTTTAGTTTTAATTTTTACTTAGGTACTTTTTTCAAAATTGTGAACAATAAAACCTTCAAAGATTCACATTCTCGAGACTCTTATGTGGTTCTAAAAATGTAATGATGGCGCTATCAGTGTAGACGTATGAACCTTATATAAGCTAATCTGTAGTACTGGTATAAGTGATAAAGGTTTCAGCTATGATTGATATCAATGTTTATCAGAATATATGTAAAAATAAAGCTTAAGACGCCTTAACAATAGCTCAAAAAGCTCTCTTTCTAACATTGCAGTGAATATGAAATTTACTTACCTGTTGTCTTTTTACAAAATCAGTATCGATATGCCATAGCTCAGCTAATACTATAATTTTTTCTATCCAAATATTGCATTCTTCATTGTTGTAACTTTTAAATGGACTCTCGCTGTCAATTTGTGAGATTGTCTCAATAGCAGCACGAACAAGTTTAGTGATAAATTTCATTCTAGGATTTCTTATTTTTTCAGAGGCTTTCAAACTTATTTCTCGGTGAACAGGATTACCAGCAAGTGCTTCAAGTATGTATTGATAATCTATGTCATATAGCGTATCTAGGGGCTTAGAGCATTTAATATTGAAATGGCACATATAATATACAGTACAAGCGACTTGATAGTTCAAGTTAAGTATATCACAATTCACACTTTTCGCATCTTGTGCAACTTCAACCAGTGACGGCATACTGTCTTCCCAGATGTTTTCATATTTAACTTCTTTCTTATTTTCAGACATTGGCATAGAGGAGCATTTAAAAAAATTATCAAGTAAATCAGTAACAATATCAAGAAATTTTGTCATATTAACATTGTTTAAACCCACATCTTGTAAACATAATGAATCTTTGGGTAACCGACCAACCTTGTTAATCAATCGACATATTGCTTCAAATGTTTGTTTTATGTATGTCGACCAAATGATTGAAAATAATCCTAATCGCAAATGTAAGTCAGAAATATTCGTCAGACAAGAAAGTACTGATTGTAGTTCATCGGTTTTATGCATGTTCCTTTGCCAAGCAATTGCATATTCCCAACACATGTTCGCTACTAAATAAGTAGCCATTGTGCTTAACGGAAACTGTCTTCGTAATAGTGAAAGCCATTTAAAAATTTTTGGATTATCATCAACTAAATATCGATGATTTTCTAAAAATACAAAATTCGTATCATCATCATTATCTTCCTCTTTATCGGGAGAATCAAAATGCCGTGAAGCTTTCGTTTCCAGTAATTCGTTCACAACTATAGCTTCCGGTAGCACTGCCATACTGCAAAGCCATTTTGCTATTAATTCAGTAACTGAACCTTTGCCTCTGGTATAAATGAATTTAAGGTTGATTTTGATATCGTTATATTGTAATTTTGGAACTTTACTTCCTTTAAATTCATCTTTGAACATTAAAATTATGCTTAGGATCGAAATATCCTCCAATTTCCCTATAAGTAATCCCCATTTAGCATTTTCAGTAGTAACAGATTCCCATGCGTCCTCGTCTCTTTCATTATATTTACTTTCAAATATCCTACCTACAGCTTTACAAGCCATTGCAACGATCAAACTTCTTAATGGACAAGTCATATCAATCAAAATATCACGGATATTTTGCCACCATGGCGACACTTCATTATACAGAATATTAGTAGCATCTTCATTTACACGACAAACATAGAATAATATTTCTACAATTTTTTCGATAACTTCTACAGTCATTTGTTCTAAAGGCATCTCCATCAAATGCATAATTATAAGTTTTACGATATCTTTTGGGTCAACATTACTGATTTTAATAAAATGACTAATCATCGTCTTGTCTACGATTTTGAATATCGACTCAAAAGTGTCTGAAGCCAGTTTCCTAAGTTTCTCGTCAGAAATATCCGTTTTCAATGATATATATTGAGAGGACCCATCTAAACTAAAACAGGATACAAATTCTTTGAAACATGTCGCTCGGCTATCTGCAAATGTAACTCTCGCATGTTGTTGATCTTTATATTCACTTTCTTGAACTAAAAGCAATAACCTTTCCAAGATACAGCTATCATCTTCTAAAAGATGAAAATCGTTAATTTCATCTTCAGTTTCTGAATTATGCGTCAAGCTATTTTGAATATCTTTGCTATCGTGTAATTTAGTACAAAGCTCTTGCATATCATTGGTGTTTTCGTTATTAATGTTGAGATAAAATAAAGTTAAAAGTCCCAAGTTAACAAAATAAGATTTCATTTCTTGCATTTGTGTGTTCTCATTATCGTCTTGGATACTGTTCCAAAATATTGATAAACAAGCCATTATTACCTTTACAGGTATTTCATAATTTTTGATTAATATTTCTAAACAGTGTTTCTTTAGATCTAATGTTTTTATTTCTGCAGCTCTCTTGATAATGTGTTCTTCAAAATCACTTGTATCATTTTTAAGTGTTTTCTTTATATAATCACGTAAATCTCGAAGAATATGTAAGTCTTTTGATCTTTCTGAATGTTCGCCTTCCAAAGCATAAAAAAAAGGAATGTTAATTCTTTTCAATTTTCCGTCGGGATCAATCAATACGCATTGAAACTCTGGTAAATTAATTTTTTTGTAAGTGTAATTTTTTTCGGCCCCTACCAATCCACAGGTGTTATAAATTAATTTTCCATTTTTTGTTGCTGTAAAAACAGCCACTCGATTTCCTCTTTGCATTAGTCTGATATCTATCAAACCTTTTCTTGGATTATATATGATTAAAAATATAGCTCTTTTAATTTCTTTCACAACAGCCATATGAGGTACTTTTTTATCCAAATCGAAAATCTGGAAATTATAATAAGCTATGTTTTACGATTGCATTTACTTTTATAGTGACGCGAATATCGCATATAATCTGGCAAAGAAGAAATCCCTATCGTGTTATAAAAATACGTATATTTAGGTATATGTTATCGTAAAAGCCCGTATATTAGTAAATCTTAGAATTGACCAACATCGTTGATTTAGGAAATGTCATAAGAGTTATTGTTATTAATTAAAAGTGGTGTTAGCGTACACCACTTACAGGACATCAAATAATATAAAATTTATTATGTTATTATTCAAGTTGGGCCTTTATTGTAAAAAGAGAGTTACGTCACAGAATACATCAGAAGATAATCAAGTGTATGTACTTCATATTTCATACCTACGCTCGGCGGTCGCGCTAAGTCAGTGGGGTAGCGTAGTGGGGGGGGGGGAGCACTTTTTAGGGGCGGCAAAATTTCACAGTAAACTAAAAATATATTTTTTAAATATTTGAATCAATTTATATTTTTAACGCAACTGTAAATTCGGACTGAATGAAAAGAGCAAATTACTTTTTCTGTGACGAATTCGGAATAAGTCTCTCACTCTTACTTTAAATGATATTTTGTAGCGAATGGCAACACCATCTAAACTGACTTACGAGGATTCCCCGTATTTTATTTTGTTTATGACTTATTATCAGTAAGAACGACTTCTATTACATAATATATCAAGTTCAATATTGATTATTACGTCCCTTTAAGAAAGTACGTGATGCTTTGACAATTCAAAGAAAGTTTTATTCATGGGTCTCAGTTGTTTAGTTCATATATTTTTTTATTTCAAATCTTTTTTTGTTTTTTAAAAGACAAACTCGCTTTTTAGGATACAAGTCCTGTGTTGCAACAATAAGGACAAAGTACACCCATACTAAGAACAATTATACCCATACTAAGTAAATCACACGAAAAATTGTCCTTTGTGGAGATTGACCCACAACACTCGCTCTGTGGGCTAACTAACCTGTATACTGCAAAATAATTATGACAGTTCTTACCGAAATATTAGTTAATATTCATGTAAATAATGTATAGTATAATTATATAAAATACCTAATTAAGAGGGGCAGCAAAATTGTCTTCCGCCCCGGGCGGCAGACATCCACGTTACGCCACTAGCTAAGGTTGAAAAAACTTTCGTAGTAATAACACTTTAGGTGTCACCAAATGACACAATAAAACAACATAAAATTTACACAAATAAAAAAATCGAACTTATGCAATTAGTTGACGTGAATTTGCTTAACAAAAATGTAGTAATACAATAGGAAGACTCACTAGAGGAGCTTCATGTAATTGTTAATGAGTATAGGTCATCAAGGCTGACAAATATATTTTTATCCATATAATTTCCTTATAGCTGTTCATAGAGGAATAGAAGTAACTACCAACTTAGCTTTTTAAAAGAACTGGTAGTTTAAAAAACGATATTTCACAATTCAATGTTGCATTGAAATAACTGACCACCGAATACTTGTTATGATATTTTTTTTTGGTTTCATTTCGTTAAAAAGTTCACAGACGCATGTCTAAAACCGACGGCACTCTCGCTCCCACTGGTTCGAAACTGTCCAAGACATTGTGTCCCTGAGTGTTGTCTATGTGTGGGTTGTTCGAACCCAGCAACCCACACATAGACAACACTCACGGACAATTGTACGTAGATTTTCTTCTATTATATGTATTCAGTGGTAACGTTAAAACTGCAATTATTACACACTAGCGGAATAAAGCGAGCGTGCAGATAAATTATTTTATTTTTCTGACGGCCCTACAGATTACCCATGTAGGTAAAGAATTGATCTGATCTATGAAATTAGGTTTCACTGGAAAATTACGGGCTTTTACAGTAACATAACGATTTTCAATTGAATCAAAAACTGAATATGATGAAATAGCTTGTTTTTTTATCACAAAACTATATAGAATTTAATGAATGAATAAATTATTAAAAGTGTTAAATTTAACATATAATTTATAACCTATTGGAATTACTAATAATAACCCTTATTTACTCACACTACTCATGTCATAGTTTTTACTATACTTTACTTACCTGTACAAATGCACATTGTGCATCTCTGTATCCTTTGAACATTCTGATTAAATACCCTTTCTTAACATCTAAGACAGAAACGCGTCCAAAATTATCGGTGAATGCAGCTAGTTGTCGATCAGGTGACACCACTACTGAAGTTCCCTGTCTTTGTACATCAATTAACCCGCTACGTAGGGAAAGAGTTTCAGAACGAATAAGCGGCTCCGAATTCGTAGATGTAGCCTCTGAATTACCTCCACCTAGCCAACCACTGTAAGAAGTAATATGAATATATAAAATTGCTACTTTGTTTGTTGACGAACTAAAAGAAATCGATCAAGTGCGAAAAGCACTCGTGCACCTCGAGGGTTACAAGATTCTAGGTCGACTGGAAGTATCATATAGGTTTTGATTCCCTTGCGAGTAGTTGCGAGTTTGAAGATATGCGTCTTAAATGGCGGTTTCTTTTGATTGACATAGAAGTTTGATTTTATTACAGCTTAAAGGTATTATAGACCCGAGTATTTGATATGAATTTCAATTTAACTCTACGCGTTGTCTAGGAAATTTCAGCTTGATACCTCCATGCGTTCCTAAGAAAAAAGGTCTTAACAAACATCGGACGGACAACATAGTGATCTTATAAGGGTTCCGTTTTTTGCCTATCGAGAAACGGAACCTTTAAATGTCGCTTAAAGTTGTTAAAAGTAGCTCGGTGGCGTAGTGGATAAGCGCCGCGGCCCGCGATCGTTGTTATTCAGCAATTTTCGCAAAGATTTTACGGTAAATTACTTACGGTAGAGCAGATTTGATTTTGTTTGCCACTGCTCTGGCAACATCTTGCAGTGGAGGTGTAGTTCCACCTTCAAGAGCATAATGAAAACCTATATAAGGTTTTGCACCTGCTCCGAGTATGAGGGAATTAACTGGAGGCACTGACCGATACCTGAAAAAATAATAAATAGTTAGATAACCTATTCCTATAACCAAGTTATAAAACCTATTACATTATTTACTTTTTTAATTGTAGCAGATTGTTAAATGGCGATGTTTATGCCTTTGATGATGATTGGAAACTATCAAATAATCTATGCTGTGCATCTGTTTCATATACCAATATGATGTCTCAAATATGAGGAAACCAAGTTTTTAAAGGTAGAAAAATGTTTCAATTTTCATTGAATTTTAAGGCATGAAAACGTGTTTATTATGATGAAATATTCTTTGAATGAAAAAATGCTTAAAAATCCACCAGCCCCAGGCACTCTGATGGGACTCGAACCCACGAACTTTAGCTATCTGGGCGATTGTCCTAACCACTGAGCTACCCAGGACCTAACAGCCCTGCGATTCTGTAAAAATACAGACCCGAATTCGAATGCACTCATATATCCGAATTTACATCATTTAGGTTAAAAATTCTGTTGATTCCATTATTTTGTACAAATATACAAACCAAAATTGGTTGTCTAAAAATATGTCATTTCGAAACTCACTTCTCTTATACCAAGAAACGTTATTACTTGTTTAAGGTTGAGCGGATGCCGTTTTTTTTAAATGAATTCGAATTCGAGTTTAGATTTTTACAGAATCGCAGGGCAAGACTTACGAATCTTTCAAGCACTTGTTTCTTTTCACTTCTAGTGACCGCATTTTCATAAATGTTCAGGCAATTGATCCAAACAGCTGAAAGAAATATTTTTAATAAATTCTAATCTCAATCGAAAGTTATAAATATTTCTTTCGGATGTTTGGGTGGGTTTCCAAAATATTGATGAAAATATGCTCGCTTCAATTTATATCATTAGTAAAATAAAATAATGATTGTGAGTACTTTAATATTTCGTTTAGATATTTATTTTGTTAAAACACCCAGCCCACCACGTGGGTGTTATGCGGATTACACAGGGTTCGGGTAGTGGGTCATGGTCAATTATACCTTTATAATAAAAAATAAAATAACTAACCAGGTATCATATCCTCCATACGTGGATGCAGCTAACAAATGATCATATGAATTCTTTAATTCTAATCCTACGATTGCAGAGTCCTGGATAATTTCTTGATCTGCAAACAACCACTTTCGAATATTGACGCTACGACTGTCAACAGTAAATGCATCTTGTAAACCAGCTTGAACTGAAAAGTAAAAAATAATTTTAATTTATCAGCCTTTTGGTTTAATAGCAATGTTCAGTTTAATTATTATGTCAAATCACATGAAATATACAAAAGATGTATTAGATATCAAACTGTGTTGATTGAATGACTTTATTCCAAAACAATATAAGAAATAAAGAGGCAGAAATATTTTATTATGTCGCTTCTATCCAATTGATGTTTCATTATTTTTATTATCATTTAAAAACAACAAGCCTATATTCCATGAAAATTGCGAATACACCAACGACCAATATAATAATGACAAACCATTCAAAAACTTAGGTATTTAAATGAATAGAAACATATTTAAAACTTGGAAGATTCCACCAGAGCATTTGATAAAGATCTAAGATGAAACATGTTTAGGCATTACAGGAGCATTGAACAACTGATTAATAGAAGAAACATTGTTAGGAATAATTCCAATAATAATTTTCAATAAAGGCTTTTTTGTAATGTAAACTCACTTAAAATTTGCTCTTATTAAATTGAAAATAAGTTGTGAATGGGGGGCTGTAATAATAAAAAAGATAATAACAATACCTTTAGCCAACTGTGATTTTGCATTTCTCAAAGTTTGAAACAAACTTGATCCAGAAATAATGCATTGGCATGTTTGAAATAGTACATGTATATCATCAGGTAATGTACCATATGTTCCTGTATGACAAGAAACTTTCATTACTGGCTTCTCATCTAGTTTCTCTGATAAAAGTAAATGTCCTGTATCTGTGTAAAATGCAATATTGCCATTTTTAAAACCCACAATTACACAAAACCAATCTGGCCCATTCTGAAATACAAAAACTTCCAGATAATCAACAAGTATTTGCTTTCAAATGAAAAAATTAACAGGGACTTGAAGCCAAATAAACTTATTATAAATATTTGAATCATTTAGAATGTCTTTTGACTGGTCAGAATTGACTTCGAAAGCCAAAATAAAATAATGTCTTCGATCAACAATACAACTAGATGCCCGGTCTCAGTCTCAAAAATGGCCTAAGAAATAATGCCTCACATCAAAGTGTGGTCTCTTATTTTGTTTTAGTTTGTTTGCAACGGCGCCAATGTACGGACGTGTTGACGAAGCCACAGTGCATATTAAAACTGCACTAAACATACCTATTAATAAAAATTTTATCTGTTGGAATATCGTATTTAGGGTTGTAATTTTTTTATTTTATTACAGGTGTTCTACAGCATAATCTTAACAGTAAGATAAAAGTTGATTAGATCCTTGATGTAATGCCAATTACAGTTTTCTTCGGATGAAGTTATAAATAAGAGAAATATATAATTATTCAAAACTATGTTACAACCAAAAGTATACATTATATACTCTGTGTTTCCCTATTGTTCATACTGATTTTCCAAAAGCTGATCAACAGTATCAAATAATATATGAGGGGTTAAAGTATGAAATTGCCGTTTTATTGTGATAGGTTCTTTGAACTGACATAGAATCTTGATGGTTTGAGGTTTTCGAAAGAAACTTTTTTCACATGGTTTCTATGATGTTTTTCTTTTAAAAAATAAGAAACATTTAAATATAGTTTTTGTTATTCAACTTAGACAAGAAAGAAAGTTACTGAACTGAAAGAAAATTTGAATGATTTTTGAATACGAGTTCCGACGCGGAAGTCACGCGGCAGAAACAGCCCGCAATCAATGTTGCGTTTGGAGAGGGATCTGCTAACGAACGCATCGTGCGATTTTGATTTAAACGCTTTGGTGATGGAAACTTCGACTTGAAGAACGAGCCACGAGGAAAGCCGCCCACAGAGATGAATAACGATGAATGAAGAGAGATGGTGAAAGATGATCCTAGTGAAACTACCTAGGTATTAGCGGCATGGTTTAACGTTCCCTTACCACAATATTGACTCATTTGCATCAAATCACTAAAAAAAAAAAGGAAAATGGGTGCCTCATGATTTGACCGATCTGCAGAAAGAAACGCGTGTTGAAACTTGTGTTGCCTTGTTAAATCAGTATAGAAATGAAGGAATATTGGATCGAATTGTGACATGTGATGAAAAGTGGGTCCTTTATGATAACCGTAAAAAAATGCAATGGCTGACCCCAGGTCAAACGCCACAACAGTGTACTAAAGCAAAACATACTAATAAAAAGGTAATGCTAACTGTTTGGTGGTCTCAGCATGGTGTTATTCACTAAAGTTTTCTCCGATCTGGTCAAGCAATAACGGCAGATGTCTATTGTGCCGAACTTCGAACAATGTTGGCAAAAGAAGCAGCAAAACAGCCCCGACTCATGAATCGATTTTCACCATTATTGCTCCATGACAACGCGAGACCTCATACAGCGCGAGAAACTGTTTTGACCCTTCAGGAACTGCAGTTAGAAACCATTCATCATCCTCCGTATTCGCCAGACCTTGCTCCAACGGACTATCATTTTTTTCGTGATTTGGAAAATTATCTACGTGTCAAGAAGTTTTCTTCCCAGGAGGCATTACAAAATGCTTTAACACAGTTTGTGCAGTCTAGATCCTCAGAGTTCTATCGCAAAAACATAAATGACCTTTCTATTAGATGGCAGCAATGTATAGATAATAATGGTAACTATTTTGATAAAATAAATTTGTTATAAATTAAAAAATAAACAATGTTGATTTTCAGTACAAATCGGCAATGTCATACTTTAACCCCTATATTATAATCGTGGGATAAACGTGTGAGTAGCCTTTTTAGCATGATTAGTAGCATAAAGGGAGTGTGGGAAAGATGATTGTGTGTGTTTAATATAATTTTAGAATGTCTATAATTAAGTTCCGTAAATTGCTAATGCACTGGAACCTTGACTAAATAACATTCATATGATATGAAAATAGAAAGTATAGATAGCACAAAAGCCAAGAGATAAATTAATTATTAAGTACATATGAATTATCCCCAAAGTAAATAAATAAATTATTTTCAAAATCAAAATAAATTACTTACTTTTACGGCCAGATGCACAATGACAATTTACGGCTACGTTCAGATAACAACCTCTCAAAGCGCGTCGATTTTTTTTATAGTGTATACATGGTGCGTACTTGTCGGGCGTTAAACGCGCGTTGTCGCGACCGCCCTATTTCATTTTGAGTTCTACATTTATCGGAGATGGATGTAGAAACAGTTTGAACGGTAATTTTATACCGACCGCAGAAACAACCCGACAGAAGACGGAGATATTGTGTCCACCCAATTTTGTCACACAGGTTGACTGAAAGCCATTACATTATATATCCTAAATTAAGGAAATTTAGGCCCAAATTCTTTAACTACTTCAGAACGTCTATCAAGCCATTTGATGAACTTGATGAACCCTAGAATACGTCTATCCGCGTCAAAAGCGCACGCGTTAGCAAAACGCGCGTTTAACGCCTGTCATCTGAACTTGGCTTTAATGAATGTCAGATTTCTATGGATAATGTCATTTAAACTAATGAAAATTTTAATGGATGTTTGTGAAAGGATCAATTTATATGTAAGTAATGAGGTATATGGAAAATATAGAAAAAAAATTACATTTACTTTGAAGTCATTTGTGGGGTAAACAAAAGGAATTTTCAGTAATTTTAAATTAAATTAAATAGTATTCAGTATGTATAGTCAAACTCATAAATAAATATTACAGAAGACTGACCCTTACAACTTGTTTAAAATCAAGTAAATAATTTTGCACAAATGACATCACAATGAGACAGACTACAAATATTGGAAAATTATATTTTAGTTGATTGATTCTGCAAATAATCTTTAAACTTTATGTACAGTTTAACCGCGCATAATTTAATTTTTTATCTAAATGCTGTCCAGTCCCTTATTATCAACACATATAATATTTATATTTTTTACTAAGAAAAATAAAAATTACAATGCAACTCAATACTTACCCAGTTCAAGAGCTTAGTTGTCAATTGGAGTATTATCGTATAATATACTCTGTGATATACACTGCAACAACAAAGGAACATAAGTTCCTTGGTTGCCCTATTTAAGTATTGTTTTAGTATACAAGGCATTAATTATCTAGTTGTATTATTGATTTTTTTTAAATTGAGTATAATTTTTAGTGAAATCTTAAGTAGCAATTTGCTAAGAAAATAAATAAAGTATTAAAACAAAATTAGTGTGAAATATTTTATACAATGTTAAAACCAATTGAGCAAGTATAAAAAATATATTATTTAACTGAGACATAGAATTATATTTAATAATAAAAGTAATTACATTTTGATTAACAATTCTTTATGTTTACTTTATGATTTCAGCCTTTACCTGTGATGATTGTTGTGATGGACATATTGGTAACACCAAGACAACTGTTATTTCAGAAGATAATGTACCACTCCATGAAATCAAGTATGTGGAGCTGTCAGTAGCGCTTATCCACTGACTGGTTAGCAAACAAAGACGTGTCTTATAGCCAACAGCTAGCAAATTACTGCACGGAGATAAAGAAACTGAGCATTGAGATAACCAATTAGAATCTGAAACTGATGTAAAATTAAAAGATCTGTTACTTTGATTCGACATTACTTCATTTTAATAGAAAACTACTGAAGTACATGCCTTCTTTATCCCCTATAAAAAGAGCTCTTGCCAAAGTAGCCGTGTCTCCACAGTCACCAATTTGATCCACTTCACAAGACATTCCGAATTAATAATATAAAGTTCTGAAGGTAAACTGATATAGTTTCAAATAAACATTTGTTGAAAATTATTTAATTGGAAAACAAAATAGTCGAACGAGACAAACGTCAGATCAGATGTTTGTCATTTATTGACATTTTTGTTATTGTTATAATAAAAGACCAAAAAATATTATTTTTACAGCCAAGTTTTTAATATATTTATATCATACTGAATGTGATATGAATAGCTCGGTGGCGTAGTGGATAAACGCCGCGGCCCGCGATCGTTGTCGTTAAGCAACTTTCGCTAGGGTCGGTCACGGGATGGGTGACCATAGAATTTATTATCTCGAGTTACTCCGTGCTTCGGAAGGCACGTTAAGCCGTTGGTCCCGGCTGCATTTGCAGTCGTAAATACCCTCCAATCCGCATTGGGCCAGCGTGGAGGGTCATGGCCCATCCTCCTTAACCATCCATAAGGAAGGCCTGAGCCCCTGCAGTGGGGACGTAAAAGGGCTGATGATGATGATGAATGTGATATTGAGGTCAAACTCACACAAAAAATCGGTATCTGGAATGATAAGCTTGAAACGCGTATACACGTTCATTTGGATATTAAAATGTATGTTGTTTCAAGTCTCGTAAAATCTCGTGTTAGTTACCTATCTTGCTTATCCACAAAAACGTAAGGTCGTAGAAGTAGATTGTATAAGTAATATGCCGTTTAATGTGATTTTAATATGGGATTTGAAACCAACCGTTCCAGTTAATTACTTTGGCTTTTAGGCTAGGCTCTGTGCTTTGGTCTGAGTTTAAAGTTGCAATCGTTTTTAGACCAAAAGTGTTAGTTACCTATCTTGCCTGTCAACAAAAAACGTAAAGTTGTTTATTCTAAAGCTGCACTGATTGATTATATATTATATTGAAATGAAAATAGTTCCGTACCGTACGTGTTACAGCGACGAGCATTACTATAGTATTTATCACATTACCCTCATATTGGGCATTTTTCATACTGCGTGGGCAACTGACATTTTACGCTTTACACGTTCTCTTTAAAATGGTTAAAAGCAGAAAAATGTTTAGAAGTTAGAACAAAATTTTTCGTCAATTCCTTGTACTTTGAGCTTTGATTTTGAATTATTTACAACGCACGTTTATTGAGTGAGATTTATTTTAAGACGAGCAAGTTTCAAATGCTAAAATATAAGTGTATGCCAGTTTATTATTTCTAGTCTATCCTTCTGAACTAAAGCGCTTATTTGACTGGGTTCCACTTTAATTACGTTGTTAAAGTGGAGTAAGCGACTAACGAGTCTAGCCAGGGTTGCCATCCGTCCTGAACTTCCCGGGACAATGCCTGGTAGGAGTGCAATCTGCTTCCATCAAGAGCGGGAGATGCGCGGCTGTGCGTATTTTTTTTAACGCAGGGATAATGCAATCTTAAGTTTTTAACCAGGGCTCTCCGACCTCGCACCTGTCCATCTTAACCCGTCTCATAAAGGAATTCATCTGGGCTGGATTCTCGTGAATACCGACTAGCCAATCCAGCCCGACAAATCTAACCATGCAAAGCTAACACTTGGTTCTATATGTTGACATCAGTTGTTGCTAAGCAACCACTGCCTAATTACTCGGTGTTCTTGATTTCGTATTTTATTTAATTCCTTTTTGTTATTAATTTATATAAATAAAATACCTAGCCAGTGTCCGGTTAGTAGCAGTACAAAAAGTAATTCATTGGTTCATGGAAATGACCAACTCTAAGTAAAACAAATAATATTTAATGTTGCTCAATAACCTAAATGAAAATGGATGATGAATACAAGATAATGAATTTATATAATTCAAAGCAATACGATGAATGTATTAAAATGTGCAATTCGATGTTAAGCGAACGAAACAATCGAATGGTAGAATTCATTCAAATGCGTACGATGGCTGTACAAGCTAAAATAGCTGGCAATGGTTACGAGGAAGTGGATTATTTACCACAACAAGATGATTTATTGTCAACAGCGATTGCAAAGACCCCTAGACCGGGTACTACATTTATTAGGGAATCTAAGACAGCCATACAATTAAAAGTAAGTAGAAAATATTGAATTTCATGAATGTTACCTTAAAAAAATACTAGTGCATGCAATTAAATAATTTTCCTAATTAAATCACACTAAGTTTTTATTCGTTCGGGTCATAATTAATTACACGTTGTTTATAGATGACATTAATTATCCAATATTTTAACGTTTGTACACAAAAAAAAATCTTGAAATTATTTCGTGAAAATAAAGCCAATTCCATAATTTTGTAAATTTACCGTGTTCGGATAGACAGACGCGACGGTTACATTTTAAAATAATATAAATATGATATCACAGATAAAATAAAAAATTCACCCCGTTAAACGGCTCGTCCGTCGTTTCGGATAGCGATTGGTTGGCTTTATTTTTCATAAAATACAAAATAGAATCAACCATAAACCGCAACCGCAAATAGCATAAACCACCATGCAGGTCCAGAGCTGATTGGTGGGTATTATTATAACAATTGCAGATAAATAAAGCCAAGCGTAAGGTCGTAATTTTTGATCACCCATTCGATTGCTGGCGTTTACGAAAGTTGTTTAACCTCTGCATCGCGACTGATTCTCTGCGTCATTCATCGTTAATTTGTAATAAATGTTAACTTGAACCGGAACGGTTTTTATGTTTATTATTGCTGCATCATTTACGATCTCCTTATAGTTTGTTTTATTCATTGTAAAGTTCTGGTCATGAAATAATTGAGTAAAACAAAATATTTGTTGATAGACTGCAGCGAATTCAACAGTAGCGACGTCGAAAACGCGAGGTTATACGAAGACAGCCGGCACACGTACGGCGAGGAGTGCTCTGCATACAGCAGCACGAGCGTCGCGCGCAGCGACTGCCCTTGCAGGCGCACCCTTCACTGCTAACACTCCTCTTTCTCTTCGGTGTCTTACGAAAGACGACAAGATTTTCACTCCAGCTGCAAAAACTTTATTTGAATACGTTTATTACTGTGAAGGCGATATTCGCAAGGTCATGTTTTCTTTATTCATGAGCTCGTAATAAAAATGTGCAAGAGTTTTTTAACGTGAAGTAAAATGTAACATGCGTTAAGTGTTCCATAGAATTTAATAAATACCGAGAAAAATAATATAAGTTTAAAAAGTAGAATTAACTCTGAAACGAGAAGATTCAGCCGATCTTTGAAGTTGTTGTGAAAATCAGCTCCAAAAATGTAATAATAGTAAAGTTTGAAAATTAATTAAGGACGTTTACGTCGGTCATTAAATTCCTGAAAATGTTGCATTTTTACGTTATTTTACTAAAGCTAATATTTTGTCTGATTCTAAGAAATAAACTTTGTTATCTAACAGAATGACCACAACATGCAACTTGTTTTCAATTATGTCAAATGTCCTATTATAAGTAGCTAGTCAAGAAAAAATACACAAAGTTTAATTAGTGGAACAAGCACCTGATTTCCGCATTTCCGTACCGAATGATGTTCCTCGTGTGTTCATAAGTTTTGAGACGAAATAAAAATTGCGTAACTTTTTTAATAATTAACTTATATTTCTAAAATTCTTAATAACCATTTAATAGATAATAATCAGCAATAAAATATATATTTTATTCAAAATGAGTACAGGCCCTTAGACGATTCGCCTTTCGCCTTGCTTCTCGAACAAGGGTTTGCTTCGGATAGCGGTTGAGCGACTCCAAGTTTAGGTGGGACGGCAGGCCCTGAGCTCTAATTCAGTCTATAAAGAATAATCCAGCGGGTTGACGTCGTGGCTGGAAGAGGGTCACTCGTCCGCCGCGATGAATGTCGGCACATTCTCTCTCAACCAAGTTTGGGTGTTTTTGCCTTATGGGATGGTGGCGATTCTTGCTGAAAAACCCAATCCTTATTGTGAAATAACGTTTCAGACAGAGGTTTTACCACGAGCTCTTCTGATAATTTTGGTTTTCACCTTGTCTCCTAAGCAGCAACGGACAACATTCACGTTGTAACTTACGAAGACTATCGTTTAAAAAGTGAACTTTTCTACGGCTATAGGCCTTTACCTTAAGATCATATTTCAGTAGGTATTCTGTTCACTAAAACGTGCGAAATATTAGTTTGCAGAGCGAGTTTTTTTTGAGTGCGACATGGATTCCAGCGAATTCCAAATTCAAAATCGGTAAAAAAAATAACAGCCAGTAACTTTTTATTATATTTTTCAGTAAAAAAATTGTCTCAAAACCAATTAACACACGAAGTATATCTTAAGGGATTTGTCTCGAGCCTTCCCTCATTATTATTATTGCGCTATTATTATTATAGCAGTGCTTCATATAAGATCGATTAATCTATTTTTAGGCCATGGATATTGCTTTTCAAGCACAAAAACTTAATGAGAATGCAGACTGGTGGTGGAACTTTTCCTTAGCTCGATGTTACATGGTATTGGGAATGCACAGGAACAGTGAAGATTATCTTCGACAAGCACTGAAACAAAATAGACATATCGTTATTTATCTCCGTTTAGTGGCAATGTACGTAAGTTTAAATCAACCGCTATCAGCGCTGGAAGTTTGCAAACAAGGTTTATCCGTATTTCACGATTATACACCATTAACGCTTGAACAAGCGAGAATACACGATCAGATGGGCAACGCAACATTAGCACTAAAAGAATACCGAAAAGTGGCTTTAGAAGATCCATCTAATACTGAAGCAATTGCCAGTATAGCAATATATAATTTTTATAATGATCAACCAGAAATCGCTCTACGATATTACAGGTAAATATTCACTTAACTACCAACTTTATGTTCTGAAGACATAAATAGTATAGTAGTACCTACTAGCTTTTTAGAGTGTAATATTGATAACATAATTCGAAAAAAGTTGTATATAAGTACGAAATGTATCAATTTAAATTTATTTAGGTTCATTTAAATATTCTTCCTCAATAATTTTAAGGACTTTGCTTTTTATTTAGATGATAACTTTGTCATCGGCATGGAAACTTCTGATGAACATACTAATTTGTTAAACGTCTTTTATGATTTTATCGATAATTTTCGAAATCTACAATGGTTTTTACATTTAGATGGTCCACTGTAGGCTTTCCAAATGGATCATTCGTTTTTCAAAGTTTTTTATTTTGAAACAAAACTGAAAAGATAGAAAGCATTTACTCAGTAACTACATTTTGGTACTGGTTGTATTATATCCAAACAGTAAATGTGCTTTAGTCACATAACAATCAGCTCAACGAGTATTCGGCGTAGCGCAAAATACATAGAGACTTTCATCATCATCAGCCCTTTCACGTCCCCACTGCAGGGGCTCAGGTCTTCCTTATGGATGGTAAAGGAGGATGGGTCATGACCCTCCACGCTGGCCCAATGCGGTTTGGAGAGTATTAACGACTGCAAATGCAGCCGGGACCAACGGCTTAACGTGCCTTCCGAAGCATGGAGTAGCTCGAGATAATAATTTTTTGGTCACCGATCCCGTGACCGACATTTGCGAAAGTTGTTTAAGGACAACGATCGCGGGTCGCAGCGCTTAAATCCACTACGCCACCGAGCTACTACGCCAAAGAGACTTTATTTATAATATTATTAAGTATGAATTACTTTGAGTGAGTATGGAAAAAAAATGATGAGATTTAGAAGTTTGAATTTTAAATTTTAGACGATTACTAGCTACCACTTATCCTGGACCAGAAATATACAACAATCTAGGACTTTGCTGTCTGTATTGCAATCAATGGGATTTAATTCTGCCTTGTTTCCGACAAGCTTTATACTTTTCTACAAATCCTGTAAACCGGTCTGATATTTGGTTCAATATTGCACATATTGCATTGGTACGTATATCTCAGTTTAACTTAAATTTTATTTGCGAAGGTTTCATATTTAAATGGGGTAGAGTTTCAAAATTAATGTTAATGGAGCACTTGGTGCATTATCGAAACAAATGACGGGCAACTAGACAGAAACTGCACTCCTAAAATCGGCAATGGACACAAGATGGACTGTTTCGTTATCTGTTCAGCTCTAATTTTCGTATTTCTAATGCAGTAAATGAGTATAAAGTTCGCGATGTAGTTCTGGGTGTAATAGAGTACCACGTATAATGTTGATTTTTTTAAGCATTTGTCATTAAGAATATCTTTCGGTATAACATTGTGAATGGAAAATTACTACTTATTTGTATTATCGATTGATACTTGACCTCCATTTAAGTCCACAGGAGACTTACCTCTTGCTCGTCGCTGTCTACAAATGAGCCTGGCGACCAACTCAGAGCACGACGCTGCGAGACATGCGTTGAATGCCATGGAAACAAGACAAAGAGTCCGGAATATATTACTACGCAAGTAGAATTTTCTCTCGAAATGTCCCGCGTTGTGTCCTATCCAGCTGTTCTGTCTTACTGCAATTTGTTCTAGAGTGACTAAATCATAAGTAATGTATTAATTTAAATTAAAAGACCTAAGTTGAAAACCTGAATAATATTTGGCTTTGACATTAGATCACATATTCACAATAACAGGATTTTCTTAACACGAAATAAACAAATAATCAACAGAGAATAAATTGTTTAAATACATATCTATAATAATCGTAACATAGCTACCTATAAATCAATGACTAGTGTTATCGATAATTAAATTATACAATGACATGCCAATTAATATCGTTGTAATTTAAATTTTGAATATTCAAAACTGTCTTTTCAAATTACTCTAAGCAGATACACCATCTTTAAATCGAGTTATATATTTTATTTAAATGTTTACTATTTATAATTTTTAATTCTGTAATTAATTAATAAAAAAAATTAACATTAAAATACTATTTATTATTATCCCTTATGGAGACGATAACACATGATTATGACAACCAGTTACTGGAATTGTTAATTAGACCCATTTAGGTAGCTTTTAAAAAATATTTCATTTAGTGAAGCCGTTAAAAAGCTACACAGGTAAGGTTCACGTCCTCGAGGCTAACGGAGGTGGTCGTCAGCCACCTGTCTAGGGGCTCTCGATGTACCCGAGCCTCTCTATCCACTGACTGGCCACGGCTTCCCGGGTCTCATCTCCAATGAGAGGTGATACCGTAGGGATTTTGGTGGGTAGGCCTCCAGGGACCCACTTTGCAGCTCACTGCCGGGTGGGTTCATGGAGAAGAGTTCTAATCTCCCCTTGTTGCTTGCCAGGTAACAGGGACAGTGCCAGAAGCATTTCCTCGACGTTAAAAAAGTTAGGTTTCAGTTAGGTTCTCAGCAGTTAATTTAAAACAGGAAGATATCTGAATTTAATAGTAAGAATAGCTCGAAAAAAAGGTTAAATTTTTCTCACTGCAAAAGTGAGAAAAATTTCCGTCAGACATGCGCCGACCCTAAGACTTTTATTGGCAAAGACAGCAGGGATTATTGGAGGGAACGCATAAGTTTCCTTATGTTAAATATTTTTTCCTTATGTTATATAATGAAATTGGCGTTTTGTCGTACTGGCCACTTTCATCACAAATTTCTCCTCCTTGGTTGGGAATTCCAAATTCAAATTTATACAGCCATTTAGACATGTATTTGTGTTTTGTTAGGCGACATTCATTTGTTTTTTTTCTTCTGTTTGTTATTTGCAAGTACGAGTTCCACCGTGTCCACGTTAACAATTATAATCGACACTATAGATTTACTGGATCTAATAGAATCTGAGTAAATGAAGATATTACATGGAAATTATTGTTTGTTTACATAACCTTCGTACTGACCGCCAGCCATTTGACATTTCAAAGTCCGACGTCATTGTAACCACTAGTTGGCGAATAGGTCAATCAAGTAGTCATGTAGGGAAATATCAAATGATTCAGAGTTTTTTAATTCTTCATAGTGTGAGGCAATTTTGGAGTCGAGCACAGGTTCAGGGTAAGATCGATGGGAGGGCAAAGTTGCATCAGGCGCCGCGATTCCCGACTCAGGTGGTAAACGTGAGAGATGCCGTACTTTTATCTGCAAAAATGCATAAGTGTTTTTTTTAATATAAAAATGGGTGTTATCACTCCTCTACCTCTAGGTATAGCAGGACCGTCGAAAAGAAAGAACTTCGCACAATGACCTTTGTGCCTGCTGATAGATATCATAAACATTTTAGATTCACTTTACTATGACAACTTTGCTTAGATGCATCTATGCGAGCATAGTAGCAATATGTTTTGCGCTTTTAAGATAAAGAGATTAAGTTGTGTCAAGAGCAGGGGCGTAGTTACCGCCATATCTGCCGTATCAATTATACGGGGCCCCCGAACCACGGGGGCCCCCAACGTGCGTAAGCAAAAATTAATAAAAACTTCCCATATTTCTTTTTATTTTAGAAATTACAAAAGCTAAAAAGAGCGCTTTTTCCCGCGTAAAGCGTGCGTTTCAAAGTTGGCAACACCCTACATCGGTTTTTGCGGGCTGCATGATTCCTCCATTTAAGTCATTTACTTCAACAGGAGAGTCCCACAATAATCGATGTTAAAATTCACGCAGTTTACAAAAAAAAATTTTCTTTTGTGAGAAATCATTACCCTTCATAAGTGTAAGTATAGGGGGCTCCGCCAAGGCACGCTACGCCACTGGTCAAGAGTGACGGTCATTGTAGGACATTCTCTCTGTTCGGCGACCGTGCTATAACTATCATATTCAACAGAAAATTTAACCTGTTCAAATGTAGATGGTGGAATACCAATATTTTCCCACGAGTCTGCTCCCTTTGGAATATTCAATGGTTTCATGAAATTAAAATTCTTGTCCTTTACTGACATACTGCTGCCAAAACCCATACAATGTAACAAATCTTTGGCTCTTTTTACCAATTGTGAATCTTTTGATGAATAAAATAACAAATGTGCTCGTAAGAGCAGAGATATACTCCTAAGAGTAATGCATATTACTTTTTTTATCTCAGCATCTGAAAATATAATTTATCTGCCTAACTACACGAGTACAATTAACAGCACGTCAGGTTATACAAATCTGACAAATTTCTCCACTTAATTTTAAACCTTAATGCTTTGATGGTAGAGCTTATATTTGATATTGTGGTAACCTGAAGTGCAGTCGTGTGTAACTTCCATAACGTAACTTCATTAATATTCAAGTCGGGTGGAGTTTTTCTGTAGGTTATTAATTCAACTATATTCGCCACACTTCAATAGTTACTTGAATAATTAAGTCGCATTTAAGATACGTTAGTCATATTTCTCACTTTTGCATAAAAAATATTGGAGCAGATTGCGAATCGATAAAAAAATATTAGAGCGAATTGCGAATCCATAATATAGGTAGGTATTTCAAGCGTTTTGAATAAAGAGAATTTAAACACTACGTTTTTTTTTGGGGTAGGTACTATAGAGTTATTATTATTTCAATCCATTGGTAGTGCGTAAATGTTATATACTGATAATAACTATATATTTTATGTACATTCAACATAGATGATGTTGAATGTACCTACTGTGTACCTACCATAATTTTTAAAAAGATCGTATTTTCCACATATTATAACTATCTCTGGTTTTGAGTCAACATAAGCTTCATTCATTGCGGATATACAAGAATCTATTGTGTTCCAGATTGATTTTACTTTACTTAAATCGATCATGATACAATAGCAATATTTCCCGTTGATTGGTATGGACAGTAATATTTTTGCCAAGATGTCAAGTTTCCCGCCGTACTCCCAAATATGACAAATTGTTTTTTCAAGACCTTGTTTTTGATTTGATTTTCTGCCAAAAGAATACTCCAAAACTAAAGTTTCTCGGGGAGCATCAGTTTTGTCGAGAAATGCATAAAGCATTGTTGTTTTTCCCTGGAAAAAAGCAATACTATAACACCAACCAACTACTTGCGAATAATGCGTATCATCTATCTTATGGTCCCTTTTTAATGCTCATCATACGTGGATATTGTTTGTTATTTAGATTCTTTCTTTGTAGCACACATAGCATTAAATCAGTATAATATAGCTATAAATAGCTACAGAAAAAACATCAACACTGATTTATTTACATTCACTTTATCGACACTTACAACAGTCATTGGCTATGATTACATGTTACATAGAAATTATATTGATAACTTACCACTGAAGGGCTCCCTACAAGAAAGAAAGTATGAGAGTTGTCATCATTTATGTTTGCAAGTGATTTTTCTACAGCCTGTGTAGCTAGTTCAGGAATAGATAACATCTTTTTTAAATTAATCGTCTTTTCATGCACCATGTCACAACGCAAAGACTTGCATTGTTTACAAAATAGGAGCTAAGCAACAAGGAACAGCGCCTCTACCGAGCTAAGTCTGGATTATTCATGATTTTTTCCGTTTCCGTTCCACGATAGCGTATTATTTTCTAACTGTATGAATTAAGATGATTTTGATGCCTTCGTCCGTGACGCTGGCGCTTAACTTCTATAAAAAGCCTGATATTAACATAATGTGGCAACTAGATTTACTCATATAGTTATATCTGGCTTAAATAAAGATAATCGCAAAGATCTGCTCGAAAACTACTCCGTACCTAGAAATTGCACAAACATTGCTGTACCACAGCTTCAAAGCTTCTGTAACCGAGCAAGTGATAAAAAGAGACAAGGCCATCGAGTCAAGACAAAAACAGATTGCTATTGGCATTTCATGCTTAGGCAAGATAATATTAGTGATCAATTTAATTCCACTGAAAAAATACAGAGTTAAAAAAAAGAACTCATGGAATTGTGGAAGAATATTTTGTGGCATCTAACATATTGAATCTGAAGGAAGACGTAACTTCGCATTATATTAATTTAAAAAAGATCTAAAAGATCAATTGTCTCTCACGAAAATCGACAGATTCTTGTTAGGGAATAATTTAGATGAAACTGTAAAAAACTGCAAAGGCAGTCACTAAATCCAAAGCAGAACTCAAGGTAAATGTTTCTAAGACTCAAGGTAAGGCTTCTTCATCAGCAAATGAAACAAACAACAATTTAAGCTAGAAGGTGAGAACCCTAACTCGCAGGCAGCCGTCGGGCACAATGCGCTTACAGCTGTCGCCACGGAACTCACAGTCGCTGGCCCCAACTCGTCAAATTACTCACAACGGCCCAGACAGAGCCAACGCCAATAAACACGATATGTTATGCTGGCAGACTAGTTCTGTTTTACAAAAAATGTTCTATCATAACTCGTGATCGTAACATTTTATCGTTGATTGAAGAGCTATGAACTGAAGTTCGAACATCCAGTTCAACAATCCTATGTATCAACTGAAATTAAGCAAGGTACACAAATATTTGACTAATACCAAGCATATGGAGGGTTTTGAAAATTGTGTTTGGCCCCATACCTACTTTATGTAATGCAATCACAACGATGAGGTTCTCTTTATCCCCACTCCATTTTAATATCACAAAAAAATATATAATGTATTGACACAAATATAAAAATTTGCTATTTTTGTTTTCCTAACACAATAATGATATCTCTGACCAAAATGATTAAGAGTTAGGTGATGTTGAAACGAATGTATGGAGCAAAGATTACAAGTTCGCAATGTATGTTTACTTATTTATTAGCTAAGCTATTGGGGACAAAACTTAGAATTGTTGTAACCAAATATTCCAGCACCAATCCTACACTGGTACCCTTAATATATCAATTGTTACAAAACTTGCACTAACTCTTAAACCTAACCTTAGGCTAAGAGTCAGTAAATCTTATGGAAGACTCATCAAGCATAACAATAGAAGTATCCACTGCCAAGTTAAGTGTGCAAGGATGGATGCTTTATTTGCTATTTTTGTTCTGAGCAGACATTATACAACCAATAAAATGCTGTCTTGTATCAAAGTATTGGGCTCAATAGAAACTTAAATTGAAAAAAAAAGAAGTGAAGGAGTAGTTTATTATAGTCCATTAATATACATACACACGCTAATGAATTATTATGCAGTAATACTTCTAATAGATTCAACTACTTATTAAGAGACTGCAACTTTTGGTACTCTAATTCCTTACTCATTATCTCTTTATTTAAATTTTGTAGTATATCTTGAAATCTTTGTCTGAGAGTCATATTTTCCATTCCAGAAATTTCAAATTGTGTTCTTTGGCGTCTTTGTTTTAATTCTTCCAATTCAGTAGTGAGCTGTTGCAATTTCAAACTGAATTTATTTTCTACATTTCCTTGCAAAAACTCATCAATGGAGTAGTGTTCTGTATTTTTTAAAACCATCAAATTTGAAGATGTTGATGTGCTTTGCAGTTCTTCTGCCGAGTAAAACATGTCTGAGCTAAACTGAGTAGCAGTTCTATTACCTTTGATATCCAAGCCTTGAAATGAATCTGAACGGGGATCATCATAAGATGATAAGTGACTATCATCAATATCAACATTAACATTTTCATCTTCCAAGTCGCTATCACTCAAAGTTCCACCAAATATATCTTCTACCTTAGATGCAGATTTATGTGTGGTGCTAGATTCTGGTTTAATGTTATGTTCTTTCTTTGCTTTAGCTTTTTCAGGTTTTGCAGGTGGTTGAATTTCAGATTTTTCATTATTATCATCTTCTTCATTAATCACTTCCCAAGTAAAACTAACAGCCTCATTATCTGCCCTAAGAAGTCGCTTTACTTCCTTTTCAATTTCTGGTGCTTCAACATTTTTTTTCTTCAATGTTTTTCTAAAACGCCTTTTTCTGATATTTTTAGTAGGTGGAGTTATTCCATGGGGCCAAAGAAATTTTTTATCTACCTTATAGGGATCTTTCTTCTTATTTTTTGTAGGCGACTCTTCTTCAGTTGTAGTGGGATCTATTTCATCTTTACATATCATTATCTGGCAGATGTCGGCAGTTTTATAAACACTTTTTCGATCAATCGTTTTATGAGATTCCACGATAGTAGGCAAATCAACGATTTTGGCATGTAATAGCCAGTGATCAAAACGAATTTCTCCTTGTCGCATATCATTCTCCATTTGTATTGTAAGTCTATTTTTCAAATTTTCTCCAGTATTCAGAACGCTCCTTAAAGCTTTTGCTGGTTCTTCGGGTAATCTCATTATAAACTGAGATTCTAATTCAACAGGATAATCTGGTTCTTTCTTTTCTTTATTCATTTTGATAAATTTTATTTCTAATAAAAAGTACTATTCACTCTCATACAACAAGTCAAACGTATCTCTCACAACAAAAATCAATACACATAGCATTAAAATCAGGTTTCATAATAAAAAAAAATCTATAATCTGAAACTTTTTTTTTTTTTTTTTTTTTTTTTTTTTTGGCTTCGCACGGCTTGTGCATTTAGCCAATGACATTATTTTTTGAGTAAAGTTAGGGAAACGTCAGGAAAGGGATAAAGTTTAAGGTTAACGGGAATTTGGAATAATAAGGATTAGAAGGGTATAAGGATAAGATGAAGGATATTATTATAACATAAGGTAGGTAAAGGAATGATAGAAATAAATTATATTACAGTTTAATATTGTTGAAAATAATAAATTTTGCTAGGGATTTATATACAGATGGGTTATTCGTAGCGAGCAAGGAGGATACGGAAGTTGGGAAAGGAATTTTAATTGATATTAGGTCATTTAAAAAGAAGGAGCGATCATACTTTAAACAAGCAAAAATGATGTGATTTAGTTCGCCAATAATACCCTTACCGCAGTCACAAATGTTATTGTTAATAATACCAAGTCTAAAGAGATGATCAGGAGTGCAAACATGTCCAAGTCGCATGCGAATTATTATTGAAATAGCCTTTCTTCCGTAATCAGCAGTACGGTACCATGGTTTAACAGAGATGTGTGGTTGAATAGAAGCATAAAATTTACCTTTTTTACTTGAGCTATTTTCCCAAATATTACACCAGGCACTATTAAGATCAGTCTTGGCTATAGACAAGAGGTCATGGCTAAAATTTTTATATGGATGCATGTCACCACAGTTCACGGCCTCATTTGCTAATATATCAGCTATCTCATTGCCACCTATACCGCAATGACTTGGGATCCACATAAATTGTACGTAGTAGTTGTTAACGTAACACTTATAAAGTAATTTTCTTATTTCAGAAATAACAGGATAATATGTTTTCATTCGAAAGGGAAATTTACCAACAGCCTGAAGAGCGCTCATTGAGTCACAGAATACAATTGTTTTCTTAAGCTTCATAATAATAACATATTCCAGGGCCTTTAAAAGTCCATAACATTCACCTGTGAAAACTGAGGATTCGGGTGGAAGTTTAATTTTTTGAACAACATTGTATTGTGAATGATAAACACCTATGCCTACATTGCCAGACTTATTGTTTTTTGAAGCATCAGTAAAAATATGATGATGGTCTTTAAATTCACAGTCTATGGTATATTTAAAATTAAAATTGGCTGTAGGATCTTTATTAATAGACTTTAAGATAATATTCGGACATAATATTAAAGATTGATAGTTAACATCAAAAAGTGGCAGCAAGTTAGAACGATGAGTGGGATTGTGCAGGTTTTTATATTTTTTATAACTTTTTATTAAACAAGGAAGATTTTTGTGAGACCAATATCTGGAAGAGTTAATTTCTTCTTCGAGTGATTGAAGCAAGGGGAAGAGCGAATGATTAGATAATTGAATAGAGCGAAAAACAAATCTGTCAGATAAATACTGACGACGTAAATGTAAAGGCGCCTCACAGCATTCTACTTGTAATGCATTGATGGGACTCGACTTCATAGCTCCTGCTATTAATCTGAGTGCTTTGGATTGGATTCTGTCAAGTTTTCTTAAGGCAATACTATTACCGGGTTCTAACAAAAAGGTACCGTAATCTAGTATACTACGAATCAGGGAATTATATAGTATCTTAAGGCTAAACGGATGAGCACCCCACCACACACCTGATAAACATCTAAGGATATTCAAAAGGCGTTCACATTTGTTAGCTATATGCTCACAATGTTGAGCGCCTGATAACTTCGAATCTAAAATAACTCCTAAATACTTATAGCTTTTTAAGATTGGAATTGAATCATTATCGTACATTATCTGAACAGAGGGAATGATACGTTTCCGTGAAAATATTACCACAGCGCTTTTAGAGGCAGAAAGGCTTAAACCATTCTGATCTAACCATTGTTTGAGATCATTTAAAGCTAATGTTAAAATTGATGTTGCTCTTTCTATATCGCGATTGGTAGAATAAATTAGAAGATCATCAGCATACTGAAGAATTTTAATACGGTTTTCAAATATTGACTCTAAATCATGCGTGTATATATTGTATAGCAAAGGGCTTAACACAGAACCTTGTGGCAAGCCTTTCCAAACTGTTCTAGTCATATCATTATTATAATTGTATATAAGTTTCACTGTACGTTCGTTTAGTAAATTAATAATGAAGTTAGAAAGAAGAGAGGGAACATTAATGGTATCCAATTTCGTTTTTAAGATCGATAGTAAAACATTATCGTATGCAGATTGTATATCAAGGAAAGCCGCGACTACAGATTCATTAAATGTAAATGCTAATCTTACATCTGTATTAAAAATACTAATATTATCGATGGTGCCTTTACTTTTCCGAAAACCATATTGCGATTTAGAAAGAACTTGTATGTTTTCAACAAACCACTCCAGGCGGTTTTTAATTAAATGTTCAGCCAATTTAACCAAAACATTAGATAGGGCAATGGGGCGATAATTGCTTGCAACATTTCGTGATTTATGAGGTTTTAGCACTGGCAATATCACCTGGGATTTCCAAGATATTGGAACGTTTCCTGTTATCAAAAAACTGTTAATGACATCTAAATAATAAGAAAGTGTGTTATCAGTAAGTTTTGAAAAAAAGCAATAAGGAATTCCATCTTCTCCTGGGCAGGAGTCTTTGACATTATTGATTATACCTTTTAATTCATATAGAGTAAATGGTCTTTCTAAGTAATGCGTACTTTGTGTCGATAAAGTCTTATTATTCTCTGGGACCCACGGGGGGGCTAATCTATCAAGGAAGCTATATGCTAAGGATTGGGGAAGAACTGAAAAAGAAGTTTTGTTGAAAGCACATCTAAAACGCTTTATATTGTTCCATACTATTGTTGGATTGACGTTAGGTGAAATAGATGAACAGAAATTTTTCCAACCTTCAAATTTCTTTTTCTTGAATAATTTTTTAGTTTCTAATTTAAGTTTACAAAAATGTTCAAAGTTAGTATCTGACATGTTTTTATTATATTCTTTTTCCGCTTGTTTCCTTTTCCTTACAGCAAGAGTGCATTCACTGTCCCACCATGGAGGAGATGGAATTTTTTCTAAAGTATTTTTCACAGGAAATGTTTCATTAGCAATCTCTGTTATTAAGTGGGCCAAAGATTGAGCACATATTAGATTATTGTCACTGTTAACAGAGGGTAGAAGACATAGCTTAGCCTCAATCTTTTCTTTAAAGGAATCCCAAACCTTATTATTTTTAGTGTATTTATATTTTCTAAGGGATATCTTTTGTGGAATTATTTGTTGCTTACAAGGAAATTCAATAATTATTGGATAATGGTCACTACCATAAGTATAAGGAAGAGTTTCCCAAGATAGAGCAGAGGCCAGGCTTGGAGAACAAATAGATAAATCAACAGCGCTGGGATTTTGATTTGGTCCAGTTTGACGTGTGGGACTGCCTGTGTTAAGTAAACATAAATTATGCGAGTCAATAATATCTACCAATTCTCGACCCAGAGCATTACACTGAAAGCTTCCCCAGACTGTATGGTGACAATTAAAATCACCAAGAACTATAAATGGCTTGGGCAGATTAGAAAACAAAAAATCAAGTTCACTTAAAATGTAAGGTGAAGGGTGAGCTATGTACAATGATACCAAACAAAAATTATTAAAACTTATAGCTACAATTGATATATCATCAGAGTGAGGTGGAAGAGTTACACTTAAAAAGGGAATTGTATTTCTGATAAGTATAGCTGTTCCACCACCATCTGTACCTAGTCTATCATCTCGAACTATGTTGTAACCAGCAAAATAAAAGTTTTTTTGTGGTTTAAGCCAAGTCTCTGACAAAGCAAAAACAAATGGCTTGTATGTGTTGGTCAAATATATAAGTTCACTTCTTTTATTTATAATACTCTGAGTGTTCCACTGTATTATATTGCGTAGATCCATTATTAATTGTTAACATTAAATTTTCAAACAAAGAGGCAACGTTGGACGGTGAAATAAAATTATACTTAGCTAATACATTAAATAAAGCTGTTATTAACTCAATATGAGATTGATTGTCTTGATCTTGAGAAGGCTTTTGTATAGCACATCCATTAGCAGGTGTAGGGATTCTAAAGTCATTTATGATAGCATTATGTGCTTCTTTATTGTAACCCATATTGGTATGAGAATTATTTATATTACGAGGGTTTAAGAACACTGTTTTCTTATATGATGTAGTGGAAGATCTACTATTTTGAGATGTGTGAATATTATTATACAAAGGCGATTGAGGAATAGGCTTAGAAGCTACTATGTCTGCATATGATTTAGCTGCTGGAGGGTGAGCTTTGGAAGCCTCGGCATAAGACACACAGTTTTGAGCCATGAAAGTTTTAATTTGTTTTTGTCTCATAAATTCTGGACATACTTTACTAGTGGCATAATGAAAGCCAGAACACAAACAGCAACAGGCATCCTCTTCAACTGTACCACAAGATTCCCCAGTGTGTTCCTTGCCACATTTGTAACAACGGGGCTTAGATCTACATTGTACCTTTGTGTGACCAAACCGACAGCAATGATAACACTGTATCGTAGGGTATATATATAGGTCAACATTTAAAGCATTATAACACAAGTACACTCTCTTAGGAAGTATCTGTCCATCAAAAGTAATAATTACAGTTTGTGAAGGTTTCCATGTTGGGCTCCCATCAATAAAAGTTTTGAAGTTCATGCGTCTGACTTTCATTATAGCCCCACATCCTAAAGGTACTGAAATATTAGCCATGACCTCTTCAGGTGACCATTCAGCTGGAACACCTCTTACTAACCCCATTCGGGTGACATTAAAAGTTGGTATATATGCTCGGTAATTATTTACTTGAAGAGCTTTATCATTAAGAAAAGAGTTTGCATCTTTAAAATTAGTAAAACTAATTGAAATTTTATTCCTGCCAATTTTCTTAACACTGCCGTTGATAATATTTGGAAATTTATTATTTTTTAAAAAATTGCCGAACTTAACTGGATGTATTGATGTCTTGTCATCTGCTGATAATACTATTTTTTGTACATGTAATATAAAAGGTGAAACATCTGACTCGCAATAAGCTTTCCTACCGATAGGAGTTGATGAATTAGCTACTGAAGGAGGGATGATTGAATCCTGTATTACAGATTTAGGTGGTGGAGGAAGGTCTAGAAAAGTATTATTGTTACCAGATGAAATTTCAGTGCAAGAACAATCTGTTGGTTTCGGTTCAGAACCGTGATGCCGCCTTCTTTTTTTGTTACAGGTTTTGCATACATTGGAGCGACGGCTCCTTTTTAAAGTGGATCTATTCGATGTAGATGCATCCGTATCCATCCCTGACTCGGAACAAACCGTAACATAGCTACCTGCCGGGGGGACGAATCCCCCCGGGTCGTCGGGGGGCTCGCTCATAAAAATAATTAAAAAAACTTACCTAATATCTGCAGCTAAGCACTAATTCTAATATATACACAAATATATATATGTAAATACACAAAAATACCCTTCTAATGGACTAACTTAATAATTAATTTTAATTATTTTACGCCACTAAAAAAAACACGCCTAACAATTTCAACGTTTCCCGCGCTTTTTTTCTTCTGAAACTTCTATGATATTTTCTAATAATAATGACATTTTTTTTTTTACTACGATATGTTACATTGGTAATTGAACTATACTGCATCGATATTAAATAATGAGCCAATTCTCAATCGGTATTCCCAACAAGTTACTACAGGTTACTGTATAAAATCCAGTTTGGTGAAAGACAAGGAAATACGCTAATAAATATAAATGACATAGTATTATGTGAACATCAACTGTGCCTAAATACCCATATGAACAAAGAAATTAAATAAATATAAATATAAGCTACGTTTTGAGGTATATTGCATCACTAGACGCGTTGATAAATTTTTTGGTGAAAATTGGACACGATTGTTTAAATTGAAATAAACATAGAAATTTTAGTTGTATGATTATTATCTTGTTATCCTTCTATGTTAATAATAAAAGTGGAGATTTTTTGTCTGTGCATCACAAAATTTATTGATTGTCAATTGAATGAAAGAAGGAATGAATCAATTTATTTTAATCATTATTCAAATTTCAAAAGTGGCAACACGTTCATTTTGCTGAAGTGATGTCCTTGTGTCCACATGAATTTTGTTTTCTTTTTATTTGGTCCGTTTTGAACTATGAATTCGAATTAATTTATTTACTTGACATTGTCAGAATTGTGCGAAATGCGCAGATAAGTCATTAATTAAAAAAGAAGAAGAAGAACTATGGATTCGAACAAATGCCTCATTTGACATTTGTCACTTAAATCATAATAGTAAAGATCTGCACTATTTTGATATTCATTCACCAGTTATTCCATATAAAAAACAGTAAATGCACATATGAATAGAGTTTTATTAATAAACTACTTTTCTTTGTTCAGTATTGACTCGAGTTAAATCGAGATAAGCGTAACTTATGTTACTCGAGTTGATGCATCACTAATGTGCCTGCCAAAAACAGAAATGAAATGGCGATTGGCAAATATTGTTCATGATCGTGGTACATGATCAGGTTTTTAATTATACTTTTACGAAATTGTCTTTTGGTTATGCTTAGTGTTTTTCGGTGTGTATCAGTTCTAAGGAATTTTCATTTTAACAATTTTCTTTTTAAGTTTAACTCTCGTGGATAATGGTGAATTAATCGCAATTGGTAAGCCAACGTAACCTTCTCTCTTGTCCTCCAATTTTTAGCAGAGCTAAGCCAAATAAACATTGCCTGAAATACGTATTTTTGAATTGTCGTGTTATTTTTCATTGATATACTTGTTTTCACAGATTATTCATAATATTGTCTTTATGCTAGAAAAGAGAAAGGTGCATTGTTATACATGTAGTAACCTACATTCTATTGCGTTTTTAATTTACCCACATCATTATACTGATAAGTTAAATATAAATTGTTCCTTCCTTTTGAATAGTTTACCTTTTATCGTGGTAAATAAATCTTTTTATTTTTGGCACTCAATATTTTGTCACATCTTCATTACCTTTTGTTACTTTGCCTACATTGTTCTCTTTAAAGACCATGTTTTGTAATGTTTCTACAGTGAGTGGCTTTAGTACTATTGTTTTCTCATATTTTCGTTTCCAATGGCTTGGACTGTTTAACTTATTACTTGATTCCTGATAGTACCACCACACAACAATAAGGATGCCAACTATTTTTTAGTTCCTCTATCAGGTAGATTGTTGAAAAATGTAATAATAATATGAAATATTAATGATTCATAATTTGCTGCCATCTTTCTTTTAAATCATATAAACAACCAAAGAGTTAAGTATTTAAATATGAATATTGCCATGGGTGTAAAATTTATTGCCCTTTTTTATAATTTTGTTGCTTTTGATTTTTTTAAACATGGCATTTTAATATATAGTCCAAATTGTTTTAGTTTAGATTACTGACTTTTGTAGTTGCAACAACAGTAGTGGATGGTTGCACAATCAAAGGTGTTATTTTTTTTTTGGGAAAAATAAAGAGGAGAATGTTACCACACATATCTTTAATAAAATTATCTTTCATAAGCAAGAAAATGTACCAAAATTAGCGTCTTTGTGTGATCTGTCTGGCAAAATATTATTTTGTTTCTTTTCATTTATATGTAACTAAATATAAATTCTAGACTGTTATAAAACAATATATAGGTAGGTACTACATAATTTTTCTATTAAAAAAGATTGTTTTGATTTATTTCCAATAGTAGTTTTACAATAGTTTTTATATACAATTCCAACCACATTAAAAACATTTATTGGACAGTCTATAAATACTGGTGGTACTAATATTGTGCCTGACAATGAGATAGATAGGGACATAGGATAGCAAATTGTGTGGCAAAATATGTTTTTAACTCAAATAACTAGTTGCAAACTATTATGAAAATTGTAAAAGTGCTGCAAACTTCCCTCGCTTATAAAGGGATTTACATACTTATCATTTCTTATTCTTTAAAAACTGAGTGAGCTAAATTATTTAACACATTATTTCTTACAGTCTTAATTATTTAGTTCAAAACTAGTTGAAAGTTGAATTTTGTTAGCTGCTGGACTCCTATAATACTGTACCTATGTACTGTAATGGTTTACATATATTACTTTTATTACCAAACAGTTATGTTTGGGAAATTTTATTAATCATTATTTAGTTAACCAATATTTTGGGATAATAAATAAATTTCAAATTCATGTAAAGAATATACTATGAGTAAAGGCTATTATAAAGTTGAAGATTATTTTAAGGACCGGAATGCATGAAATTACGAGCCTTAGATCTATATCTATAACGATTAATTATAGGCATGTACCAACCTATGTCCTACAGACTTTAAAACTTGTATTTATTATTGTTAGCAATATATGTATTATTTTGGTAATGATATGATTTATGTAAATGTCATTACTTATGATAAAAAGCTGGTAAGTTTCTTTCACTTGTTCTTCTTGTCAGCTAAAAGACATCCTGAACAAGTGGTAGGGGAAAAAATATTTTTGGACGATTCAAAGTGCTTGTAACAAGCTTACTTGAATAAAAACAATTTCATTTCATAATAATTGTATACTGTTACTACTCCTATCACTCACATAAATGAAAACTTGGCAATTAATATACGCTCTTTGCTCACTCATTCACAAATCTCAAACAGCTTCATTATGTAGCGTGGCGTTTTGTAGGGAACACGGAATCTTAATATTATATAATCTAAGTTCAGAAATATTTGTCTTGAAATTATATAAAAAAATCTTTTTGGGGGGATAACTAAAATTTAAAAATTATTTATGATGACTATGTGACATATCAACTGGGAAGTGTTATTCCATGTTTCAAGTTTATTTAAATACCTAGTTCTAAAAGCTATATAATTTTGTGTCTAAGCAATATTTATGATGTTGTCTAGTTTATTACATTTTTATTTACATAGCTTACTTACATGTAAGTATACTTTTAACTAATATGTTTTTATCGTTTTCAGGTAGGCTGGACCACTAGCAGTGACAAAGGTAAGCCTTTAAGAGGGCACATATAACAAATAATATCAATAATATCAAAATAATTAGTAATAATGGTAATACTATAAAAATTATTAAACTACATCATATTTCTAAGGGTTTAGTCACAGTCAAAATAAGAATACATATAATTTTCTTAACAAAATTTAAAATATATTATTTACGCCTGAAATTCATCTCTTTTTAGTCCTTTTTATGCTGTAATTTTATATATGCAAGTCACTTTGTAACTGAATCTAAAAGTTTTACAATAATCGTAATTATTAATTAAAGGTAGTTTTAAAGCACAATTCGCCATCCTCTATCCATACATATCTCACTGGTTTCCACAATAAATGATATGACAGGTTTTATGCCCAAACTTATGGTTTGCCTTGTTTCTAAAATTTTATACATTCTTACAATATATTAGTTTTGTACCTATTTAACAGTGATAACATGACAGTAGTTAGAAAATTCATTTATCTATTGTTTTGAAACACAAAAATTGGTTGTCCTTCCATTTTTTCTTTTTTGTATGTAAAACACTGCATTGACAGTATTCAGGTTCTCTCCCTTTTAACAAAATTGTAATGAAATGCTTGTTTTCTGGTATTACCAGGTCAAGAATACCAAATGTCTAAAAAGGAAATCATAAAAACAAATGTCTGAATGTCTTGATTTTTTATTATTATTATAGAGAGTCTAGACTATTAAAATATCATAAACATAGTACATAAAAATAAAATATATATGTATTTAAATCCCATCTGAAACCAATTTCACATCATGTTATGATGATGAGATTGATACAAGTTTCTTACATGTTAGATGGCTGAGGTGGATCCAGAGACTTTGCATGAATGGCTGCTAACGGGACAGGGCGATGAGCGGGATATGCAGCTTATTGCCCTTGAACAGCTGTGTATGTTGCTGCTCATGTCAGATAATGTAGACAGGTGCTTTGAAAGGTAATTAAATGGTTATTATAGTACAAGCTTACAATATTAAATGAGGTTTTTTTACACATCATCACAAGCCTATTAATGTACTACTGAGGCTCTCACATTTAATAGGGAGATTGGGCCATGGCCCACCACGCGGTCCCAGTATGGACTGAAGGGTATTAACGACTGCAGATATAGCAGAATCCGAAACATGGAGGAGTTCGAGATATATCATATTGGGTCATTCAACCTATGACGGGCCATTGTGAAAGTTCCATAACAACTGTATCGCAGACTGAGGGCGTTAGCCACTGACCCATTGAGCACCTTTTTAGGCATTTCTATTTATTTTTGAATTTAGTTTATCTGATTGTATATGTTGTATTTTTTCAGTTGTCCGCCAAGAACATTTTTGCCTGCTTTATGTAAAATATTTCTTGATGAGTGTGCACCAGATAACGTATTGGAAGTTACAGCGAGAGCCATTACATATTATTTAGATGTGTCAGGTATGTAAGACAAAACAAAAAAAAAAGGAAAACTAAAAGTAAATAGTATATTTAAAATAATTTGTACAATTTCAGCTGAATGTACTAGACGCATTGTTGCTATTGATGGAGCAGTAAAGGCCATTTGCAGCAGACTGCTCACTGTAGATTCCAGTAACCGTACTAGTAAAGATCTTGCCGAACAATGCATTAAAGTAAGTATTCGTTATTTTCTTTGTTATGTTGCTATGCCTTTTTATAAATGTGCAATTTAAATTATGATTCATATATCCAATTTATGACTTTTATTCATAACTGTGAACTCATTTACAGGTATTAGAGTTGGTGTGCACTCGTGAAGCGGGTGCTGTATGGGAAGGTGGTGGTCTACCGGCCGTGTTGCATTTCATCACACACTATGGCACCGCCGTGCACAAAGATACACTGCACTCTGCTATGGCTGTTGTATCAAGGTGAGAATGAAGGAAGAGAATTTTTTGGTACAAATTGTTTTATAGTTCCTTATAAAAATACAATATTTCAAATCTTGAAATGGTTTTCTTCTTTTGTTTAGCTATCACCGATCACAGGGAACTTCAAAAGAAGTAGTATTGTATGTTTTTAGACTGTGCTGTTAAATAATTGTATAATCTGTTCAGAGTGTGCGGTAAAATGGAGCCCGGCGATGCGCGTGTTGGCGACGCGGTATCCTCGCTGTCTTCGTTGCTACGTCACAGCGACGCCCGCGTTGCTGATGCCGCACTTCGTTGTTTCGCTTCGCTCGCAGACCGGTTTGCGCGTGCCCATGCTGATCCGGCTCCACTCGCAGAACATGGTAAATATGAAAGACATATATCCTCTGTTAAGTAATGCTACAGAAAGAGAACAGCCCATAACCTACCAAGAGCCCATCGTGGAGGGGGTGGTTCTTGCTAATGACTACAGATGCGTCCGGGCTGATGACTGATCTATGTGAAGTGTATTTATTATATTTCATTTAGAGCTTAGCAGATTTGGACAATAAAAGTTGCAATTGCGCCATTTTGCTTGGGACTGACCTGATATCGTTGAAGCTCCCCTAATCGCTACTATAATTTGTTATAGTCTTGGCGTAATGTAACTAAACAGAATGCTTATTCGACAATTCTTAAGTCTTTTGGTCTTGGTCTTTTGTTTAAGTTTAAGATGTAAAAATGATAATAGACTTATATCATCTTTTGGATCTTTACAGGACTTATAGAAGAGTTAGTGCGTCGTTTAGGAAGTACCGAGAGCGGCGATGATAAATGTCTCGCTCCATCTGTTTCTACTACTGTTAGTTTATTGTCCACACTCTGCCGCGGCTCAGCACAGATAACACACGTGAGTGACTTACATTATGACATATAATATATATATATATATTTATTGCAAAAGATCTATTTCACTTTATTTCATATTGATCTTTGTTGCTTTTTAGGATCTAGTTCGCCTTGAATTGTGTTCGGCAATTGAATCTGCTGTACAGGCTGATGAAAGATGGTGTTTGGAATGTATGAGACTTGTCGATTTATTGCTGGTGTTACTGTGTGAAGGACGACATGCTATTCAAATGTGAGTATTATGTTATACCTATGTTTGAAAAAAAAAATCTTTGTTTCTCATATAGATAAAAATAATAACGTAAAGAGTGAATTCTGCTTTTTGTGCCTATTACAAAGCAGAATTTTATTATTTGCTTTATAATGGGCGGCACTTTCTAGCCTTACTCGTTTTTATCCTACCACTATGACGTCATAAGTGCTTATATTCCTATACTTGTTTCTTTAATATATTATGTTTCACGTATTGTTACGTGTTGAAGCACATTTTTTCAATACAGTCAATACAGCCAGTTCAATACAACAATTGAACATTTTTCACTCTGTTATATGTATTCTTACAATTATGATGCATTGTACTCATAATTATTATTACGCGGCCATCGAGATCAGATATACAAAAGTCTTAATTAGCATCATAGCGACGACGTCTTTCAATCGACGTGCAAGTGATGAGATAATCAATAGTAACACTGTAAAGAGGAAAGATTAGATTTTTTGTTTGTTAGCGTCGAATAGGCTCTGAAACTGCTGGACCGATTTTAAAAATTCGCCATATCATTTGCGGTGAACATAGGCTACATTTTATCCCGAAAAAACGGCAAATAAAGGGATGACAATGGAAGTGAAAGGATGTATAGGGAAGTAAAATTTCAGCATAGTAACCGTTGTTTAGTATTCGATTTGTCATTGTAATGAGGAAGTAGTTTAAAAAATACATTAGTTCCCGAAATCAAACTAGATGTCGCTACGGTACGTTCTTGATTTCTTCATGACAACCTTTCCGGTTTCCTTTCAAGTTTAAAAGTAAATTAGTTTTCAAAACTCAATAAACAACTCATATTCTATTTGTACTTTTTCGTATTAGTATTTATATCAAATTTCGAACTTTTCAAATTTCAGTTTTTTTTTAAATGTTTAGGAACAGAAATGACTGTCTTTGGTCCATTTATTTCCTGCAAAAATCAACGTTTGCTAGAGTCACCATCTTGTGGAGGTGCTTTTTTAGTATTTTTTTAATACTTCCTCATTATATCCATGTCATGATATGAATCGATATCCAAATAAACAGGTGACGGGAAATCTAGTTTATTATATGTTCGAGCAGGGGATCAAATCGTGTGGGTTCGAGTTCGAGCGCGGGCGCGGGTGGATGTGGCGCCAGCGGTGAAGGCAGTAGCGGTAGCGTGGGCGGTGGCGGAGGCGGAGGCGGGGGCGGTGCGGGCGCGCGCGGCGACAAGTCTCACCGTCAGCTGATCGACTGCATCCGCGGCAAGGACACCGACGCCCTACTAGCCGCCGTCTCTAGCGGCGCCGTCGATGTCAATTTCACCGATGACGTTGGACAAACTCTGCTCAACTGGGCCGCCGCATTTGGCACGCGTGAGATGGTCGAGTTCTTATGCGAAAAAGGTTTGGAATTTTCAGTATGTGTATAATCGGACCTCGTTTGGTTCGCATTTGTAACCGAATTACTTGTAGTCTGGAGAGGTTTTTCAAATTGGATTGAATTATAGTGATGGAATTACTTCAACGTGGTGTTTATTATACAAGTTTAATGTACAGTCAACAACACGTCAGGTTATACAAGTCGTCAAATTGCTTCACTTGATTTTAATTTAAATCTCAATGCTTTAAAATAGAGTTTGAAATTAACTTGAGAAATTTGATCAATTGTGGTAACCTGATATGCAGCCATTTTTACAGTGTAAATTGGATGTGTAAGTAATATTACGTATTGTTCTGCATACATTCGTTTATTTACACATAACAAGTTATTCTATACTTAAATAATATAGCAGTGTTAGTGCGTTTTTTAACGACGCAAGAGTAATAAATCTTTAATTAAATAATATATTTGGTTGCTTACCGAGAAAAGTAACGTAATGTGACTTTATAATTTAATTGTTTATGTAGGTGCTGATGTGAATCGAGGCCAACGCAGTTCATCGTTACACTACGCAGCGTGTTTCGGACGGCCTGCTATAGCTAAAGTATTATTGCGATATGGCGCCAACGCCGATCTACGAGACGAAGATGGAAAAACTCCTCTAGACAAAGCGCGCGAAAGGCACGATCAAGGTAATATTATATTTTTCGCATTTATTTCCTGCAGAGCGATTCCGTAAAAATCTGAACCAGAATTCGAATTCACTCATGTGTCCGGATTCATGTGATTTGGTGTAGAAATTTCCATTTTTTATATAAAAGTACAAAACAAGCTATTTTTATAAGTTGTGTAACTCTGTAATTGGCTTAAGTTACTATCGCATCACATTATTATAGTATGTATTTATAAATAAACTGTGGAGTTTCTGAATAAAATAAAAGAAAGATTGATTGATTATATGTGTCTCAGATATTATATTCTAATGTTATTTTAAAATCACTTCATTTACGCCACGAAACGCGAAACGGAACGAAACGGTCTGCGATGCGGTTGTTAAGCAACTTTAGCAATTGTCCCGTCATAGGATGGATGACCAAAACTTTATTATCTCGAGCACATGCGTGTTTTAGAAAGTAAGTTAAGTCGTTAGTCCCGGCTGCATCTACAGTCGTTTACGCCCACCAATCCGCACTAGGTCTGCTCGTGGATCTTGGCTTATTCTGCCCTTTCGATTCGATTAGGGAAGGCCTGAGTCCCAGTAGTGGGGAAATAAATGATAATTTCGTACTACTATCAATAATTATTATTATTCAAACAGGTCACAGAGAAGTAGCGGCGATATTACAATGTCCCGGAGAATGGCTTGTAGTTGGAAATCATGACTCACCTACTTTATCCATTGAAGATGACTTCCCTGAAACTGGTGATAAAGAAATGGCAGAAATTTATCTCGAGTGAGTATGGTCGCCATCATAAACACAACATGTAAAATGAACTTAAATCCTTACAAAACAAATAATCTAAAACAGTGTGTCATATAATAACATCATATTCATTTGAATATTGCTAAAGAGGTGGATTTAGTTGCGTAACACTACTTTAGCGTCGTGAAGGTAATGCATGCATTGTAATAGTGGACATTTATCGAAATGAATACAATGGAAGTCTTATTCTCTACTCCATCAGCATGTATTTGTCTAGTATTGGACATATGTCTCCGCTAACTCTTCCCAGCGTGATTATAGTATTTTTCATATAGCATAGGTACTGTGACGTTTGGGGTTTGAAGTTTTTAGTGACATGGTAATAAAAAGTATACATAAAAAAGCTCGATATTATTGATTTAATTTCTTATAGAGATGATTAATTTTGAGAAAATAGGATTTAAAAAAATATTTATTCAAAAAATACAAAATTTTATTAAAGTTGAATTTAATTATTCCGATTACAATACTTAAAAAAAAAATTACAAATTGTTTCCAAATTAATATAAAAAAAAAAAATATTGATTCAATCTCTATTAAAAAACCTACATAAATTGAGACATGACTAATATTAAACATCTCTTTTTGATGCATTAACACAGGTCGAAATGAAAAAAAAAGACAAATACATAATTGCGCTTGCTTTATTAGTGTGGTTTCTATGCTTTAGTTATTATTCTGAGCTATACGGTAAATATTTCCTTCAGTCACGTAGACTTGTCAAGTTGACTTTTTTTTTTACCCATCCATTACCATCAATGACGGATTTATAGAATCCAACCTTACTCATACATAGAACAATATTCGTTTCAGAGTGCCGTGACGTCATAACAACGCCATGACAGAAATTTATTTTGTTTTAACTTATTATATGAATGATTTTTTTTATATATATATTTCATGTATATTTATAAATTTGGGCTCAATGGCGCCGTGGTAGCGTTTCTACTACTGCGCCGAGAGTCGTAGGTTCGATCCCCATCCAGGACAAACATTTTTGTGATTTACAATTATGTCTGTTCTGTGTCTGGGTGTTTTCTATTTATATTATGTATATGTTTTTATTCCCCCCGTTATTTCTGATATCCGCAAAAAAAGTGCCTAAGCTACTGGAACTTACCTCGGAATCGGATCAATGTTTGTGATGTTGTCCGATATTTATATTATATTTATATTAAAAAAAGTTGTCTACACCCCTATCACGTGTAAACTAGACCTAAATCCGTCTTTGTTATTGTGATACAGACGGTTGGTGCCAGTATTCTGCGCGCGTTACCTGGGCGCGGGCGCGGCTGGCGTTAGACGCGCGTGTCTATCGCTAGTGCGCAAGATGGTGCACTACGCGCCCGCAACACTCCTACGGAATATATCGTCGAGACGTGAACCGCGTACCGCTGCACTGCTCACGCAACTAGTCGCCGCGGTACTCGATAATGCAGTCAGTATACACATTTCTATATATTCTAATATTATAAAGAGGAAATATTTGATTGTTTCTTTGCATCGAATAGGCTCTGACACTACTGGACCGATTTTAAAACTTCTCTCACGTATAAGAAGCTACATCATATGCGGTGAACATAGGCTATATTTTATCCCGAACAGCAAACAAATGGATGAAAATGCGAGTGGAAGTTTGTATGAGCAATTAAAACGTTACCATGGTAATCATTTTTAACTATTCAATTTATAATTGTATAATATATATGAATCGATATCCAAATAAACGTTCCCTAATGGCCACGCAGGCGAAGCCGCTGGCGGAAAGCTAGTGTTATATATTTACATAGATCTATTTAAATAGAATCATATATGTATAACAACAACGAGGAGTCTAATGGTGCAGTGAGTAGCGCGCTCGGACTGCGATACGGTTATTAAACGACTTTCGCATTTCGCGACTGTCATAGGATGGGTAACCAATTTATAATTTCAAGCTTCTCTGTGCTTCAAATGGCACGTTAATCCTGACTGCATACGCAGTCGTTAATATCCACCAATCCGCACTCGGTTCGTGTGGTGTGTCATGGTCTATTTTCCCTATTTGACTTGATTCAATTACATTCGATTACATCCGTAGGGAAGGCCTAAGCCCCAGCAGTGGGGACATGAATAGGTTTGTGATGATGATAGGAATAATATTACTTTGTAATAATTGTAGATATTAATCTATTTGTTAATTATAGTTTCGAAATTGTCCATAGTGACTGTTTTATTGTTGATATTTTTAAATTGACATGCGAGATATCTGTGCACTGCCTGCAAAGAAATGTATATGCATGAGCTTGCAATAAATCTAGTAAATGTTATCAACTGTTACTTTACATGTGTTTCACTACTCCAACTTTATTATATGTGTACTTATTTGCGGACCGTGCACAAATATCTGGCCGGTTCTAACAGAATACGGAAGTTCTTAAATATATAGTTCATAGTTTTCAGTCATAATAGCATCTGTGTTTTTATATAATAATAATAATATTTAGCAATTGAAGTTTTAATTGATTCTTATTTTTATTCAATAATATAGGATTTTTGAGTTAGTATTCGTTTATATATAGTATAGTATCGTTTACAAGTTGTATTATGTACAATAGTTGGCTTTTTATGCAAAAATACGAAATGTTCTTAGATCACATTCGAATATTGTTATGCCAATAAATTTGTCTCATGGCAAGTGTATGTAACTAGGGGGAGATGCCTTCGAGGCGGTCGCACCCACGATACCTACGCAGTCGCTATATCCGGCCGCCTGTGGTAAAGTTGCGATGGTGTGATACAGTTTTAGGAAGTACTATCCTTGTAGACCTCTAATGTTTTATTTATAATTTGAATTATAAGTTTGTTATGATTTGTATAATATGTATGATTATCAGGGTAAATTTTAAAGTTGTAGTATTTGTAATATTTATATATGAATACATTGGCAGTCTACTGGATTGTAATGCCCTTAGTGTGATTGATGTGCTATACCACGCTCGTACAAGCGTGGCTTTGAACACTGTACTTTTTGTTTAAGATTATCACTTTTCTTACATTATATTTGTTATTGTCGATGCATTGATTTAAGTGATTTGAATTTATATCAATAATAGTGAAGTGCCACATTAATATATCTGTTTTGTAACGTCACACCCCAATTGTATGCTTTAATTGGACACGAATAATATGAATGTTATATAATCAGCTATAATATTAGCACTAATTCATATATCAAGAATTCTGTCGCATTTTTTTCCGATTGCATAATATCATATCCCGTTAACGCATCAGCATCAACATTTTATAGATATCACACCATCGAAACTTACCTGCATCAATCTTTCCTGTTTTCGTGTTCATGTGAATTAATATCTTTGTTAAATGTTCATTTAAACAAGACCCATATATTTATCTTATAGGAGCAGGCGTTAGCTCGCGGATTTCTATTAACTACATTATTTATATCCAATTAGTACCTACAAGATACCGGTGCACCGCTCGCAAATAAAATATACACGTGCAAAAGTGGCGGTAAATCTTTTAACCACCACCAATCCATTTGTTACGCAAGATGATTTGGGAGGAGGTTTTTATTCTTATAAAGAGGAAGTCTTGATAGATCTATATTATTAAAAAAAAACGAAAGTAATGTGCACGAGTGCGTAGGATTTCTTATAATATCATTATTAGTACAAAACAACATTCTTTAAAAGATATTTGTTTAATTCATTTCCCTTTAGTTTTTTTATGTAATAATTAGTAAACAGGGGTAGGGAATCAACAAATTCTATTTTTTTCTTACATAGAACAGGAGGTCAAAATTGACAGAAACCATTTTACGTAATAAATAGATGATCACATACGTTTGTTCCACGGTGGAGCATCTTGTTACGCTAACAACTGGAGCTCAGATATTTTGCAGGTACTTAATGGGTGTTAAAGTTGGTAAATGCTACGACATTTACCAACTTTTTATATGTATATCTCATGTTTTTTGCGTGAACACCCAGAGTGTTTTGTTTTCTATTGCTATGTCGTTTAATTGATTCATTTTTATAATAACTAAAGTGTAATTGAATTACACTTTTGGTGTATAAAATTAAACAATTATGTAACAAATGAAAACATTTATTAAAAATTGTGCAGTGATCAGAGTAGGTAGATTTTAGGTACTTGTTTAAAAATGCTTATAGAAAGAATAACGTGAATAAGACATTTTTCTGTATTCAACTGAATTAGGTTTATGTTGGTAGAGACAAAATTACTATTTAACCAAGATAAAGATATCAAAACTATTTAAATTTTATTAAAAATATTTTATTTTCCAAATTCTGATAACTAAATTATTGATGTATGATTTATTTAGGATGACGACGATGGACACTTGATCGTACTCGGTATAGCGGAGGAGTTGATGGTGAAGGCAGCCGATATTTTCTTAGAGCAATTTGCTCGTCTTGGCGTATTCAGTAAGGTGGAAGCTCTAGCAGCCGCACCTGCCGCTACTCTCACAGCTGATGGTGAACCCGTCAATACAGGTAAGAGATTTTAAATCTCTTTTAAGAGTTAAATTCGTATATAAATAAATTTCAGATTCATTCTTATATGAATTTAACTCTAATGTAAACATGTGTTTTGACTTTTACTGAGTTTGTATAGCGTGTGTGAATTCAGAGATTCGGGATGGATTTGTGCGTTTTCAAAATCCAGGTACTTATAAGTGAGCTGTAATCTATTGTAAACAAAAATCATGATGTGTATTACACATTAAAATGTGGTCTGAGTCTGTCATTACTTTTCCTGAATAGTACAATATGATGAACCAAATTCTGGAATGAAATAAACAATAGCGCCATTACCTACCTAAATAACTGCCGTTTTCTACTGCAGAAAAATAACCAATAATATTCTTCAAATTAAATAGACTCACATCAGCTTTATCTGTCTATCGCGCAAGAGATTCGGCGTGGAAGTATAGATTTTTTTTTAAATTTGTATTTCTTAGTATTATTTGTGTTTGCAGGCAGTAGCGAAGACGCGTCTTGTCTATCAAGTGGAGTGGCTTATTCGTGGGGTGAATGGTCTGTGTGCCGTGGCCGCGACGCTTTATACGTATGGAGTGACGCAGCAGCTCTAGAACTAAGCACCGGCAGTAATGGATGGTTCAGATTCCTACTCGATGGCAAATTGGCCACCATGTATTCAAGCGGGAGTCCTGAACACCAGACTGATAACACAGGTGATTTGAAATAAAGACCCATTACGTCTAATAGGGTACTTAACTCTGTTTGAAAAATTACTTCTAAATGTTTATTTTTTTCTGTAACTTATTTGAGAAAAAAACTGGTAAAATAAAGACTTTTTCTTTATAAATTAAAAGTATAATTTTACACACCAGAAAACACTGTCTGCCGTATTCATAACGTTATGTCGACTTGATTTACAATTGTCGTAAATTGATTGCTGATGAGATAATTACGTGATGTAAACAAAAACAAAGAGTCTGAATAAATCTTGTTTTATTTTGATTCATAGAAAATCGAGGTGAATTTATTGATAAGCTCCAGAGAGCAAGAGCTTCAGTCAAGAATACTATTCCTCAGCCTATTCTGTCTAAACCAGGACCAGCTAAACTCATTCTTGGGAATTGGGCGCTGTCTTGTAAAAAGTAAGCAAAATTTTAATAGTAAAATGTTAACAGTAAATATGCACATTCATATCTAATACATTTATTTTATGTATAGGGAAAAAGAACTTCAAATACACAACACTGATGGTCAACAACAAACTACCATATTACGCGAAGATCTTGCTGGCTTTATATTTGAATCCAATCGGGGCACAAAACACTCCTTTACTGCTGAAACTTTTCTAGGTAATAATAATTACTACTTATTCTAATACCTTTCCTCTTGCTTGTATTATGAATGTTGAAATAATTGCGGATTTATTTTTTATACTTTGTTTACAAAATGTAGGTCCTGAGTTAGCTAGTGGTTGGGCTAATAGAAGACAAGTCACAACGGATTTTGCGAGTTCCAGTCAAAATAGGACACGGTTGTCTGCGAAAACGGAAGCACTTAAAGCGCAGGTATGTCAGATATAAGTACCTTTTTTATATTCTATAATGCTATGCTAATATGCTAATAGAAATATCTAATAATGCAAATAGAAATATCTAAACAATGAATTTGATTTATATCTCATCTTACATTAATATTAATTTGTCTCAAGTTGTGTATGGAATAATGTAGAAATCGGGGGAGGCAGACACTTATTACGATCAAATATATCTCGGCAAGTGATGTCAGAATCCATAAAACCGGCGAGCGTTTATAAAAAAAGAATTTTTAAATGCCATAAAAACTAAGAAAACATTTATAAAAACAGTGTCTCTGCTTACCCTGTAAGATTTAATTCAAAATATTAAGATATATTGTATTATTCTTATATTTATATAGTTTACTAGCTGACCCGACAGACTTCGTCCTGTCAAAAAGATTTGTAATGTGGCAGTTTTTTTGCCTACGTATTTAAAAAAATTCTCCTGAACAGAACCGTCACCCTGGTGATAGGGCGTTGTGAATAAAAAATAATTAAATAAAACATATATAAGGATTTAAAAGTAAGTAATCGCTTTATTGTTAATCATGTGAATCATAATTATTATTGCAATGTATTAATAGTAATAGTATTAAATATAGAAAAAAGAGATTTTTATGATCACAAAAACACATTACACACAACAGCATTATAAAAGTAAACTATTCGAATTAAAAAAATATATAAACATTCTCAAGGAAAAATGCTGGAAGAATCCGTCTACCTGTACCCCGGAATGGGACTCGAACCCATTCGCGATCCAGGGACTGCTCTAACCAATGAGCTATCTAGGACCCAACAGCTTTGCTACTACAGAGCGTATTTTCATCAATGTTCCGGCAATACATGTAATGACGTGGAAACTGATGCATTTTATCTCGCGTGCCGAAACTAATACAAAAGAAACGCGAGTTTCGGAACGCGACATTAAACTCCTCCAACTATGTATTCTGTGCTCCAACGCACACACGCACATTGTTTTGATAGATATGATCTTTGACGTTAGGAACACACCTACATTGCTTAGACAACAGTGAGTGCTTGTAATTTAATATGAACTTTATACCTTAGCAATAAAGCTCAAATTGACTACGTTTTAGTTACAAATCATTTGTATGGGAAAAAGAAAAGGGCTATTTTTAGGGTTTTTCCAGCAATAATTCTAATTTTTCTCGCCGTAAAAACCATCCTTGAACTTCAACGAACATTTTAAAAAAAGATTTGGCCAAATTGGTCGAGGCGTTGTTGAGTTATGCGCTTACCAACACATTTTGCGATTCATTTTTATATATATAGATTTGTTGTATTAGGTATGCGATCGTGCCCGCGCATTATATTCACGCCATCTAGCGAGCGCAGCTACGCGGCAGCCTCGACCGCCTGTAGCCAGACTTCGAGCGCTCTTAGCGAGGATGCAACGACTTGCTACACAGCCAACGAGTAAGATTCTGAATTACACTTTACACTTTTTTAACTGTGCTAACATATTCTTATAGTAAGATTAGACGAAAAGTAACATTTTATATGGATCTGCAAAGTGATTCATAAATGTCTCGTAAACATACATCAAACCTAGCAACTTTTATATTCGTGTTACATCATCTTTCAAGTTTTATTAGGCTTCGGGAATAGTAGTTAATAATTATAATGATTATTTAGCAAAATCAAAGAAATTATGATAACTTGTCATCAGTTACCTTGAAAGAGTAGCCAACTGTAAAACTCTTTTAGGGATGTTCTCTGCTTCATTACACATTTAAATTAAATAGATAAAGTTTAATTAAGAATTATATTGTGAAATTAACCTTCATGCTTTTGTGTAGTTGGCTGGCAGCAAGAATTGACAGAGTCATTGAATCAGTTGGCCGAGCTTCTGTGTGGCGACGAACTTTTATCTGCGTATGAGCTGCAGTCATCTGGCCTGGCGCCATCGCTGCTCCAGGTGCTTTCGCCACAACCGAATGGTGAGTAGTAGTTTGTCAGTCTTTGGAAGTCACTTCTTGTCAATTCCATAGTTACATTTGAAGTTATTTCGGAATAGAGTATTTTTATCTTGTAAAGTACTTGTAAGTGTTTATTTTAATTTAAAGTAGACAAAAAAAATTTTGTTTAATAAATGTTTACTTGCTTTAAAATTAAATCAAAATTTAAACCTTTTTTTTTTACCTTTTTTGCTGTTCGCAATATTCATGAGCTATTCCATTATATACACAAAACAGACATTATATACACAAAAGATGTCAATTGGACAATAACAGTGCCAACTATCGATCTGTCTACTATGAATATGCTTTGTAATAAACTAGTTTTTCGTAAGCGGCTTCGCGAGAGAGATTTGTATTCCTTTTCGAGTATAATTATTGAGTAGTACCAGATGTATGTACGGAGCATTAATGTTTTTTTCCGGTTTTATAAGATTAAAGAATAAACATACTTACATAGAGATATAGCCTAAATCTAAGAAATTCACGTCCAGCCTTGAATTCAATGTTTGTTGTTGTAGATCAGAGACCGCTATTTTATGCGGACTTTGTGTTTACAATATTTTCTAAATATTTTTCTCATTAACATGTAAAAGCTTTGGTTTTCGATTTATTATTTAATAAAATAATGATACGGAATATTCGTGTTATTTGTCCATTGATATCGTATCTACACTTATTTGAAAAACGGTTTCCTAACTGACCACTGGGGCCTAAACACAAGGTTTTACAGCGAATGGGTTCCCGATTTTGTTCTGTATATAGTATAGCTATGTTATAAAAAGTTGTTGTAAGAGGTATCGTTGCCCCTTTTGTAGACGGTCCGGGTCAGGGTGGCGAGCGCGAGCGTATAGTGCGTGCGTGGTTGTGCGAGGGCGAAGGGGGCGCGGGCGCGGCTCTGGCCGCCCGGCTGGTGGGCGTGCTGGAGAGCGTCGAGCGGCTGCCGGTACTGGCGCCGCCTGGAGATGCGCCGCCGCCGGCGCACGGCGCTCTACACCATCTCACCAAGAGGATCAGGTACTGTATATACCAGGGTTTGCAAGAATCTGATATTTATAATAAATATCAAAACATCCGATATTTATTTATATTTAGTTATTTGATATATAACATTCATATAGTACGGTGTACCCCACAGTTTGTGCTGATCGCGGCGCCTTTATGTTTGCCGCGGATTTGTATTATGACAAGTAAGCATTTGTGTAGACTGCCTGATATAAATCAGTTCGAATATTGTAACCATTCGACTCGGTTGTATCATTTTCGTCTCCTTATACTATTTCCTCAGAAGGTCCTTATCATTCTATCAGCTATCAATTATCATTGTTATCAGTTATGAATTAAATGTGTAGGGCTACTCCCTACATATTTAATTAATAACTGATACAGTACACTGTACACATATGAAAAGCTGCGATTTTTCTGCTTCTAGTGACTTTATTTATTTTTGTTTATTTTTTGTTGAATAATTAAGAAGTAATATGCCTGCGAGGATTTCCAGTAATGTATAGGGGAAAACTCAAAATTTCGAGCAAGATTACTACTTTGGGCCAATGTTGCCAGTGTCACATCGGGTTGCTCTTGCTGTTGTTAATACCAATCCACACTGGGCTAGCATGATAGGTCAATCTAACCTATTCGATTCGATTTCCGAAGCGGAGGAGCTCTGATAATATTTTATTGGTCACACCGATTCAGTGACCTGCTTTTATAAAAATTGCTTAATTACAGACCAAACGATCTAACACTGCGCCATTGAACATTGAGAAAATTAATTCACAGTGAACAATCTTTTAAGTCTTTTCTTTAATATCAATGTTAATTAAAAATAATATATTTTCTAATATTATTATAGATTGCGAGTAGAACGAGCCAACGAGGGGAGTACGGAAGAATCGAACTGTAACAACGGCAATAACGCTGGCCGCAATCTTAAAGTGGAAGCGTTGACAACTGTACGCCAGTTAGAAAGGTTTCTGGCCAAATATTTTGCACGCCAGTGGTATGACTTGGAACGTAGCACTTTTAACTTTGTGCAGAAGATAAAGACCGAAGCGCCTATCACTTTCACTTACGATGTGAGTGCATTCACTTTACTTATTATCCATTATAATCGAAGTAGATTTTGAATATGTTTCAATGCAAATCAAACAAAACATTAAGATTGAACAATTATCATGAGCTTAGAGGTTTATTGTATTGAAGTGCGGTCACTTTTAATCTCTGTCGCTCCCTTGTGACATTTAAGAATTCACTTGGTGATCGAGATGTTCATATATAAATAAATTATTGAAATATTATAAATGAGATTTATTAAAACTTGGTTCTATCTTTTCAGCATGATTTCGACGAGAACGGTGTTATATATTTTATTGGCAGTAACGGTGGTACATGCGAATGGGTCAACCCAGGTGCACATGGACTCGTTAGTGTCTGGTCTTCAGATGGCAGGCAATTGCCTTATGGTAGAGCTGAGGATATATTGTCACGATCGCCTGAACCGCTCAACGTGCACACTAACGATGATAGGCGAGCGTTCATAGCACTCGATTTGGGCTTGCATATCGTACCGTCCGCTTACACTCTTCGTCATGCACGAGGATATGGACAATCTGCTCTCAGGAATTGGCTTTTCCAAGTGAGTATATAGTGAAATAATTTAAGTTTTGGGTTATGATGAACATTCACAATGTAATAGAATATTAACTGTTGCATAGGCAATTTATTTGATCCAGGCTATTAAAACAACTTATTTGTTGCTTATAGATGTCAATGGATGGTGTCACATGGAGTACACTACTTGCTCATAGTGATGAGCAAGCGTTGCAAGAGCCCGGTAGTACAGCCACTTGGAGGTTACGCGTCGATGCTCCGTACAGATATCTTCGTATCCAGCAGAACGGCAAGAACGCTAGTGGACAAAGTCATTACTTGTCCCTATCCGGGCTCGAGTTGTACGGGAAGGTGAGTTAAGAGTTGATTCGGGATTTCGCGAGAGCAAGAGTGTGGTGAAATGGTAGCGTGGAATGTTCTGAGAGAGATTATTGTTATTATTTAAGGAAATACATTAGTTGGTGATAAAAGTTAGTCATTTTTTAATTATCAGATCATAAATAATAGAAAAGGAAAAAAAAATAGAAAGTCAGATGTAACAGGTTATTATTTGTTGTGAAATCAATTTAGTAGTACATTATTTTCGCTTCAGAACGATATTCAGTACCCATGGCGGGATGGGGCCCGACAATGGTGTGCTAAAGTGAAATAGATTTCAATGGATGATTTTAGATTATTATATATTTTTGATCATGAATAATGTTTTGGTCTGTCAATGTTCACAGGTGGTGAGCGTATGCGAGACAGCTCCCCGTCAATGCGGTGGATCAGGTACGGGCGTAGGGAGTACCCCGGCGGGCGGCACTCAGGGTTCTGGGGGCGGGGCGCGGGCGCGGCGGTGGTCGCGCGGGGCGCGGGGGCTGTGTGCGGGGGCGCGCGTGCTGCGGGGCCCCGATTGGAAGTGGCGTGATCAGGACGGGCCCCATCCCGCCATGGGTACCGTCACATCCGATCTACACAACGGCTGGGTTGACGTGAGGTACGAAAGACAAATTAATTAAGTGTTATTTTTCTTCTTAGATTCTATATTTTTTACAGACTTAAAAGTAATAGGAAAAGGAAAGTATCAATATCGCGTGATGAAATAGGTCTCAAGTTGCTCTTTATCCAGCCGAAAACTTATTTAGGCCTTTGGTCAAAAATCTTTTCGTCGGTCGTATTCAGTGGTGACCTAAACTTAGGTTTAATATTTATTTTGAACTCGGCTTTGCAAAAGACTGCAAAATAATGTGACTTTCGTTGCACATTTGTTGGATGGTCACCTTTTCTACGTTATCTTGTCTGGACTACCTTAATTGTGTCAGATGTTATTTAGCGTTAGATCTGAGTAATTTTTGTGATATCCGATATCTATTTATATTATTGTTATATTTATTAGATGGGATCATGGTGGTCGAAACTCATACCGCATGGGAGCAGAGGGCAAGTTCGATCTGAAGGTAGTTAGCGGTGGCGGTACAAGTGGTGAGGGAGCCCGTCACGGTCGCAAGAGCCACTCTACGCCTAGTCTACCCGATGCTACTGCTGTGGACCAACAGGTTAATAATAATCATGTATAAAAGTCTGAAAATAAACTTAGTCGCATATTACTTTTTGACTCTATGTCTATATATATCATATAGATAAAGAGTCAAAAAGGCATTATATTTTTTATTGTTGCGATGTCTATTGAAGCATTATGCCAGTCAATAAATGGAAAGTAAAAGATAGGATATTGCATGACCAAACCATATGACACTGACAAATATTCATTGTCTTGTTTATTTTTTAACGCGTAGTAATTAATACCTTTTACTTCAGGTGTCTGTAGCATCTACGGAACAAGCGTCGTCAGCAGATAACATATCAGGGGAAGAAATGGCAAGTAACATGTCTCGACCACGTATGCACGCGACAGATCTCTCAGCAATAAACAACTCCACACACCATATCAACACAGGTGTGTACAAATTACAGAGTTTAAAATAGAAATCTGAGAAGACATTGCAATGTTTTAATTGTTTGTAAGGATGTGGCATATTATTGTTCTTTATCTGTACATCACCAGAGCATATTAGATACAAAATTAGTTAAAATTGCTAGGATGATTCTCACAATACACTTAGGTTTAAGTTGTTTGTTTTAGGTGGGGCTCACTGGATAATTATTACTACTTCCGTTATCCTTAGCCTTAGTGATTGTAGGTCTATTTCAGATAGATACTCTCAAATGTGTATATTATTATGGATATGTCTTTGTAATTTAGATTTTTGCACCTGTAGTTACTTAACTATTTCAAGAAAATTATTGTAAATTTTTTTATACATAGTAGTAAAATAAAAATCTTAATGACAAAAGCTTAGATTGAAATCCCGAGATATCAGGCATATCCATATTATGACATATGTTACATATAAACGATAGTGCAAATTATTACAATAACATCTTATTCAGTGTTCATGTACTGGAAAACTTGAAAAAATCAACCAGTACTCAAAATCAGCGGATATGTTGTCTTTTAGTTGAAATGTATAACATTAGCGTCTATCTTTCTTAGATCTCGCAACAATAGTTGAGTCGTTAACATTGGGCGCAGAAAGCAACAACTGCATGTCAGATTTGGGCAATACATCATTCACAAACATGGAAATGGGACCGACCAGTATTACTGATATCACAAAGCCCTATCCTGCCAAAGAACCCGTGCCCGAAACAACTACGCAGGAGGTCAGTACCGTTTTGAACTCTTATGATAAATACTGTAAATAAATTCCATAAATCATTTGATCCGTATTTCTTATCAATGGTTTATATGTAGCACCCTCATTATGTATGTTGCTTGAAGCATCCGTTTTGTTCCCGAGTTTCATTTAATCAGCAAATTGGTTTTGTTCATCAATAACGCACAGCTTGATTTAAAAGTGTGATTTGAAATATCGTTTTATAAAAAAACGCACTTCCAGTTAGGTAATATCTTATGTCATTTAACAGATAGATTACCATATAATTAGGTACCTGACAGGTATAACAATAAATTATGAAGTATGTTGGTAATGGTTACTTACATATAAACGAAAATTATTAAATACTTTTGCTTCAAATTGTAAGTATATTCTTGTAACATAACTTGCGATTTATAATTTGCGGATTACTAGAACCGAAACACGGGCGGCCATGATGGCGCATTATGTAAGGTCACATTTTAATAAATTAAACGTCGTAAAAGTAATCTGATAGTGGTTTAATATGATCATATGAAAGATTAACATAATTTTCTCAAAACAGTCAAGTATCCGATCCATGTAATTCAATAACACCGTTTTAAGCTTAGGTTTGTAAATAAAGGCTTGAACATAATATGTATACCCGTTGTGGCTGTATTCGTGTATCTATCGAGTGTTTACGCATGCACAGGATAATGAAGCGCGCAACAGTGAGGGTGACGCGGTACGGAATAGCGCTAACGCATTGCTGTCTAGTGAGCTTCTTGCGTTGCCGGCATCGCTCCTACACACCTTGCGGAATAACGCCAACCGTTTACATATACAGGTACTAGCTGTTACACATGGCTTTGTCTGTGTCGTCAATGGGGGAATATTTAAGAGGTTTTTTTTTGCGGTAAAAATAGGCTAACACATATAAATAGGTACTAGTTGCTACCCGTGGCTTCGTCCTCGCAGTAAAAGAACTTTATGCGGTAATAGTCTATGTCGTTTACCATCCGTATAACCAGGTACGGATCTACCTAAGGGCTTAACGGGCTTAACCCCCGTGGATACAAAGATCCCTCAACTCCCCCATAAAAATAATATATGATACGGTACCACTTAAACATTAGGTACTAATGAAAACAGTTTGTTAATAAAATTACCTCTGTAATTAATAGGTTCCTGATTAATATTAGCCCAGGGCCCTACAAATTCACGATCCGCCCCTGCTTACAACTATTTTTATATAAAATTAATTGTTGGATATTCGAGGAGGCGAGTGAAGTGGATGATTGTTTTATAGCACACTGATTTATTGACAGGATGCATGGTGGTCGCAGCCACACACCTAAAATACATACATAATATTAATAAACAATCACACTTAAGTATTTGAAATACCAGTTTGGATTCTAGAAAATCGCTCGTGGGGGTTTTAAGTGTAAAATAGTAACAAAGACATTTCGTCACTTAGTTGGAATAAAGTATTTTCGCGGAGGTGTAAGTGCATATATTTTTTTTTACAGTGTGAAGATAATGAGAGTGGCGAAGGGCAATATGGCGATCACAAAAAAGACGGACAATCTGGTACCGGCTCTGGTACTATGAGTGCCAGCGAACCTGACCTCACGCAGCAGGTTATTAATTTTTACAATGTCTTTGGAATCTCGTCAATTTAAATACCTTTAAGGTTGATATAATGCAAAATTTACCAAATATAATAACCTAAAGGTTGATTTTGTTATTTACCAATTTTCAGGGTGCGGCTCGTTTGCTAGAATCATTGGGAGTAGGGCGCGGTTCGAGTGCCGGTCGTGGTACAAACCCACAAAGGACAACGCGTCCGAACCATTCCAACAGTCTGTTTCCAAGGTGAGGGTAGTTTATCATTTTAGATGGTACAAAAATACAGTTTAAAGAGTTTTAGACGTAGTTGTATCATCTTTTTTTACTATTTTCCTCTTTTTTCAAACTTTTACTCTTTATATTTTTCGCTAATGTAACCAATTTCGTTGCAGTCTTGTCCGTCTGGCCTTGTCAAGTAATTTTCCAGGAGGATTGTTGTCTGCGGCACAAAGTTATCCGTCTCTCGCACCAAATGCTCAAAATGCGCTTACATTGTCCCTGACGTCTACTTCTAGTGAAAGTGAACAGGTATAAAACATATATAAATTCTATAAATTTATTTTATTGCAAAAAATATAGAAGTAGTTAACATTTCATATTTATATTTTAGGTGTCCTTGGAGGACTTCCTCGAATCCTGTCGTGCTCCGGCACTGCTCACCGAATTGGAAGATGACGACGAAGGCGATGATGCGCTTGATAGTGATAAGGAAAACGAACCTACATATCAGGAAGTAGTAAGTTTACAATAAATATTTACCATATATATTATGTTTGTGAAAAATTATGTTGCTTTGTTAATATTTGTGATATTTCACAAAGACAAATTTTATTATTAAGGAGCTATAATTGTATTTGTGACTATTTATACATTTAAACTTTACTATAAATGTTAACTTGTGTGCTTTGTTTGTCTCAGAAATGTTTGTGGTGACATTGAAAGTCACTGTCATATCATATCTATATCAAGTCCATATACACTATGTTCCATTATTTTTTTTATTGATTAGACCGTTACATGTAAAATTTTGTAATTATTTTGTTCAGGTATCACGGAATTTACTTTCCTTGATGGAGGAGGAAGCATTAGAAGCCGTGAGAGGTAATGGCGGGCAAGGTGTACGATCGCGACGACCTTGGGATGATGATTTTGTGCTCAAGAGACAGTTCTCCGCTCTCATACCCGCTTTTGATCCGCGCCCGGGCAGGACTAACCTTAATCAGACTGTCGGTGAGTGAACTCGGTTCAGGTCATTTCCAAATCAATTCGTGTATAAACTTTGTCCAATGACGTATGAGCAAAGTAGTAAGATCTTGTTCTGAAGAGGAAATTCAATGCGTTTACAAATTAAATTCTACAATAATTTATTTTTTATTTTATTTATTTGGTACGCTATTTCTACATAAGTAATGTATGCCAAAGTCTTCTAATTCGCGGGTAGTTCTTAACAGGTTCTAAATAGTTTTCATTCATATTTTCCATGTGATGGTTACTGTGTACTAATTTAATAGTGTTCCGTTTAAAATTTGACCTTAAATAATTATAGAATTAATAGCACACGTCAGAATAGTTACAACGGTATATATATTTCAGATCTCGATATACCATTGACCGAGGACTCTGATTCTGAGGAGGCTACTGAACCAGTGGTTAGTGGTGTCAGTAGCGGTAACGTAAGCGGTGGCGGCAGCGGTAGTGCTAACGGTAACGAGAGCGGATCGCGTTTGCCAGCATTAAGACTGGTGCTCAGTGCTGGTGGAGCGTCGTTACCGCTCGAGCGGTCTTCTTGGACCCTGTATCGAGCGGTTCTTGCGCTCAATGCTCGATTGCCAGCTCACGATACTCACCGTGACACTACATATACGTGAGTAGATTACTGTTATATTACCGTGTCTAAACAAATTCCACCAAAAAACATAATGTGAAAATTATAGCCAAGTTTATTATGTCTAAGCTCAGTATGGTGTGATTGTTGGCTCCACAGACAAGTATTGATATTGGTGCCAACTTCAGTAGACAATTTATTTATTTATATTTATTGTTGAAAATTCTTCAGTAAAATAAACTAAACAACTTAAAATCTACAGCACCTCAAAGTTTAGCTAGGCTAGTTTTAACATGCTGCGCTTGACAATTTATCATATTTGTTTTCGCTATTCGCAAGTTTTTATTGTTATTGTTCAGATATTAAAAGATTTTACTCTGATAAATATTTCCTATTAAGGAGATGAAAAGAGGCTCCAATTGGTTTCTGTATTGTTAAACATATTACTACTAGCGAGTTCTTTGCTTGAACTTGGCTTGACACGCTACCATGTATCTTGATCATGTATCTTAATTAGCATTAGCTACATTTCGAAAGTTCATTACTAAAAAACATATTTATGAAACATACATCTTGCAGCCAATTGGTCGAAAGCTGGCTAGGTTAGCCTTTTAAATGAATGATGTTAATCAATGACTGCTTGTTTTGTAATTGAATAATTACGTCATTTAAACATTTTCAAAAAATGAACTGACCGAAAGTCATTAGTTTCGTTTACATGTTTTTTGAAAGTTTTATTACATGATAAAAAAACTATCACCAAATGAGGATAATATAGGTATACTTATTTTTTATGTTATTACTTTATATTAAATTATATTGTGTTCTAACACTTAGCTAACATACGTTGAGCTAGCTATGAGTGATTTTTAATATTGTTGTTTGCAATATAAGTAGATGTGTGTGCATTATGTTTCTGTTTATGTAGAAGCAGCTATTCTGGGTTTAGAATCGGTCAAATTAAATATGTGTAAGTAATGCACACTTATGATTTCAATGTCACTTTGTTTTAGATTGACCTATAAAGAGATTGATGGAATGGAGACATTCGCTTCATCAAGTGATAGTGAAGATGATGAGCCATGTGATCCAGGTGAGCTTTTATTTAAGTTGCGAAAACTTATTTTACATTAATATGTATTGAAATTTTTTTTTAATACACATTATTCTTAATATACTTCAGGTGGTGTGGTTACCGATCCAGGTACCTAAATGTTTATTAATAATACTTCTGTTAGCTATAATATTTAGTGGAGTATTATTTTAATTTTGAATATTTCTTCAAATAATGAATTATCGTTGATTAGACTCATATTAATGAAATGTAGACTTTGGTAATATATTAAATATTTTTGTATGCAATCTAAAAATCTGCCAAAACTATAACCTAGTTAGCTAATGTAGTGAAACAATTTTTTTTATTAAATTAATAATGAATATATAAAACTCAGACTGTTTGCGGTCTTACGCTGCATCACATACGGTTTTACTCAATTGATCAAAGTTCTTGAGTATAAATCATAGCACGGGTTTTTGTCCATACATTCAGCATCAATTTATTGAGCGACTTGCGACATTCAGTATTCGCCGAACCGTTGGTGTGAATTAATGTTTGTTCAACAAAAGAGACAATAGATTTTTTTATATATAGTTACGGTTGGTTCGCAGACACGTTGGTATACTAACAGGCGTTCGAGTTAAGCTCGACGGCTCACTTCAAATAGGTTTGAAGGAAATTTAATTTTATCGAGTTGGCTCGATGCGAATCGAAATTGTTTTTTTTTTTGTGGACCACATGCTTATTTTTACTCATTTTCAAGTTCACAGAGCAAAGAATACAAATGTTCTTGTAATAAATAAACAGTTACACTTTCATTTAGTTTAGCTATCAATAGATGATTATGATTTGGTGATTTTATTTCTTAAACAATATTATTGAATGATTTATAAATATTACATATTCTCTCATTATTATATGATTATATTATAGCTTATAGAGTTAGAGCTTACAGTAATTATGTTTGTGGTTCGCATGTGGTAGGTTTGTTTTAATTTACCTCAGAGTATGAGACTAAGTTTTTTTATTTAAATAAAGTAGACCAAATTAAATTAAATCCTCACATATATTTTGGTTTCCAAAAAATTCACTATAAATAGTTATACCGTCGTCAGAACGTCAGTTACCAACGGAAGTTAAAATTTCTACAACCGATTTTAAGCTTTAATTTGTTCACGGTTAAGTTTGAAATGTTATTGACCTGAGGTAGTTTTCAGTGATTGAATATCACTAGCAGAAATTAATGAATCCATGTCTTTCTACCATAACGAATCATGTAATGTTCATACTTACAGGATGAATTGATAATTTCATATCCTCTCTCACACACTCACTCACGTCCACTTTTTACACACCTAGAGGCACTCAAACTCAAATTATGTTGACATACTCACTCACGTCCACTTTTTACACACCGAGAGGCACTCAAACTCAAATTATGTTGACACACTCACTCACGTCCACTTTTTACACACCGGGATTCACTCAAACTCAAATTATGTTGATTTCTTATTATTATTATTTAATTAATATTTATTAATTGATAATTTCTTATTATTGAAAATAAAATGGATCTATTATGGATTTAGAAGTTTATTATCATTCAAATGTATACTTATACTAAGACTGTATAATAAGGGACGAGCGATGGAGTCTGAGATTTAGGTTTAGTATATAAACCTCATTCAGGCACAGAAGCTACTCAATTGTAAATTTTTGAAAATTAATATCATTATTATTATACAGAAAGTGGTGTTGCGGGTGCGGAAGGTACCGAGGGCGCGATGGCGACGTGTTGTGTTGGTGTATTGAGACGGCTGAGAGCGGCGGCGCCGGCGCTGCCAGCGGAGTCGTTTGTGTCCACTAAACTGACCAACAAGCTGCATCAGCAGCTGCAGGAGCCGCTCACGCTTGCCGCCGCCGCAACTCCGCATTGGTAAAAGACTATTCTATTAAACTGTGTAATATACCTCCGTGGCCGGGTGGCAAGTACGCCGGTTTCATGGTGCCATCATTTCTGAAGTCCCGGTTCATTTGGGCTGACATAGGAAACTAACTTTTCTGTATCGCGTCAGGCCTCCGTCACTCGCTCAAGGTCGCGCGATAAGTAACTACCGGCTACATACAAGCGGCAGAGGGGCGCCGCACTTTTCTTTGTGTTCATGCTTCCTATAACATTATTTGATTAAACTTTTTATTAGATTAAGAATATTTGTCGTTATCAATTTTACTAATGCAAAATTTAGGGAAAGTAATAAACAAATTGACCATTTTATAAAATTTAATTATTTATAAGACATTTTTGTATTAAATTTAATTAGGCCAACACTAACCTAACACCGACCGACGCCATCGCGCTTTGTTTATTCCTCGTAATCTTTGTAATCGGGGTGTCAGTGTTTTGGTTTTTTTGTTGCTTAAGATATCGATAACATATGCGCTTTAGCTACTTAGTTTGGCATCTAAACAATGTATGTGATGTCGAAGGTACCACAACACCAAACCCGCGACAATATAGAAATTATTTCAACTTGAAACCGTTGACCAAACTACACTGCCACGGAGGTCGTGCCATGTCCTAACATGACCGTACTATGAACGTGTCAAGTACGGAACAAACTATACGGTCTATTATACCCATTGCACTGCAATACAAACCAGAAAAATATATCCAATATTTTTTAATCGTGTTAATTTTACGTCTTTTTATTTATTAGGTGTCAACAACTTAACGACTGGTGTCCATTCCTGTTTCCGCTGGAGACGCGACAGATGTTCTTTGCTTGTACCGCCTTTGGCACTTCTCGTACTATAGTCTGGCTACAAGCGCAAAGAGATAGAGCTCTCGACAGGCAAAGGTAATATAACGTAATATTTAATAGGTTTTATGTCGTCTATAATCTAAACATATAAAAAATTACGTCTTGACTTGTGTCAGAAAACAAATGTTTCCTGTAGATTAAAATATCTGTAGATATATTGAAGTATAAAAATTTACTGAATAATATTGGTTGTTTCAGAGCTGGCAACACCGTGTCACCTCGGCGTGCGGAATTAGAGGCGACGGAGTTCCGTATGGGTCGTTTGAGGCACGAACGCGTACGGATACCGCGGCAGCCTGACTTGTTACGTTCTGCTATGCAGGTTAGTAATCCATATATTCTTTTGTGTATCAAAACAGTAGTTTTACAGCCGGTTTCTGATTTGACAAAAGTACGTTTTTTACATGGCAAAAAGTCCTAAAACTAGGACTTTGTCAGTTTATTCACACATTTTTAGACAATTTATGAGATAGTTACGTTTTGACACTTGCTCGACTGCAAATAAAGACGTAGAAAAGAAAGACACATAAGGGTAAACAATCTCAAATTCACAAAGAAAAAATTAATTGCATGGTGTCAATAGACAATAAAAATCAAAAGTAAATCTATAAAAATGATTCCTTTCACCAACAATCCTTCGCAGTTAACTAGCTGATGGGCAACAGCACAAACTTTATTGTTGATCGTCGTAAAATAATAATATCAAAACGTAATTATCTCATAAATTATTAAAAAATATTTTTCTATAACTTCGTTTTAGAAAAGGCCTCCCTTGTATCACGTTAATTCGGTCAATTAGCACGTATACGGGTACGTTCGCAGGTGATGCGTGTGCACGCCGGCCGCAAGTCAGTGCTCGAGGTGGAGTTCGCTGGGGAGGAGGGCACCGGTCTCGGGCCCACGCTTGAGTTCTACGCGCTAGTGGCGGCGGAGCTGCAGCGCGCCGACCTCGCCATGTGGCTGCACGATGCGCCGCACGCTACCGACGAATACGCGCCGTACCACCTCGCGCTCGCCGACGGTAAATAAATAATTTTTATTTAAGATACGAGTGCGGAAAGTAAGGGAAAAAACCTTTTACGCTCAAGTTTCTTACAACATTTTTTAATGCTTTTTGCGAGGAAATAAAACAAATGTATAGGTTGATAAAACTAAGTAAGTATTAAAGGTAAAAATTATTTGTTAAAATTAAAAGTGATATTGGAACATGTTTTCGTGTTATACATTTTTATCTGAAAATATTCCTTCTAGGCTCCTTGAAATACTTTTGCCTCTAAAGTTTGAAATATTTTCATCAATTTTTTTTAAATTTCTTAGGTGCTCGGCCAAAAAAAAGAAATTAAAAAATACTTTTAAGCATGTGTGCAGTAAAGGATTTCAGTACATTTTTATTTAACACGTGTTTAAACATTCACTTTCGGTGTTTACAATGTATTAAAAAAGTAGCGCTTTATGAGCAACTGCATTGAAAAGAAATATTATACAATATTACATGACATACTGAGTAATAAAGCCCCCGTATCTTGGAGTATCTGAGGCGGCGAAGGTACACCACAACATTCAGACCCGAGATGGTGACACCTTGAAATGGCGTGCGAACCACCCGGCTATGGAGGTCGTTATGGGATATACGTTCAGTTGCTGTAGGTTTAAATAATGACTAAGGTTTAGACCTTCCTTGAATGTTCTAAATTTTAAAATTTGTTAGGGGAATGTGACATATAAACTAATTACAAATTTAATTAACATTTGTGCAACTAGGTAATAGTCACGTGAATTGTGAATACACGTTTGTTAAACTTTCACTCAGAACCGCTACTAGAAAAATCATTGGACGCCAATGGTATTAATGAATATGATAATATATTATATATAATATGATATACTTGATAGAAGCATGACCAGAGAGGTGATTAAAAATATTTGTAAATGGATCTTTCATTTAACATTGCTGTTTTTATTATAGAAAAGCCGCCTGGGTACTATGTGACGCACGCCGGGGGACTATTCCCAGCACCACTCCCTCAAGACTCTCCTATCTGTGATAAAGTTTGCAAATATTTCTGGTTTTTAGGAGTATTTTTAGCTAAGGTGGGTATAGCAAAATTTATTTGTGATATTATTTTGTCCATTGTCATTATAGTAAATGTAAAAATTATATTTTAGGTTCTGCAAGACGGTCGTCTCGTGGATTTGCCGCTGTCTGAGCCATTCTTAAGAATTATGTGTGGCGAAGAACTGACGACAGAGCATCTCGAAGAAGTTGACCCGATTAGATATAGGTATGTTCTTGGCTAAATGTTTCTTGGGTATATAATATTTGTTTCATAATCTTTAGTCTCCAATCGTATATAGATTACACGACGTATATTTTTTGCTAGGTCGATGAAATTATCTTTGTGTATTGTGGGCTTATAATCTAATTTTAAAATCTATCGCATTCAATTTGACATTTAAAAGATATTCATGAATTTCACACTACAACTATTTGACGTGTGATGGCGATTTCGAACGTGACGAATTTTTGTGAGCTATTGAACGAGCGATATCATTAATCAATTAATAATTAAGCAAATATCTAAATAGAAATGTCAAACGAAAAAGTGGTATAATAATCATTCGTTCTAAAAGCGATTGCTACTGTAAAATGCAGAAAACTGCCAACTGGATAGTTGACGTTTGTTCGTTCTTTACCTCAACAGTGACTTCTTGGGATCCATACAATGTATTTATGCGATTTCATCTTATATTAATTTATTTGGTCGCAGGTTTTTACAAAACGTGCTGGCAGCAGCTGAGAAGTACGAAGTAATAAATCGCGACACATCTCTGACTCATGAAGAGCGCGAAAGGAAAGTGAATGCCCTGACGGTAGAGGGGGCCACATTCGAACAGTTGTCTCTTACGATGACTCACGTGGCCGCGCACGCTGATCCTTCAGTTTCCGTGCAACCACTCTGCGATAGCGGGGAACACATTGAGGTTTGTTTTACGTATTATATACTAAAGTACGACCAACGAGAAGCGATAAAAAATGTAAACAAAACCAATGCAATGTCATAAGGAAATGCAGGGGTACGTAACCTTTTGAAAACTATGTATTTAATTAGCAGACAATAATATTTTTAATAGTATCTGGGATTGAGTAACTTTATGTAGTTGTTATTCTAAAAATCTAACAATAAAAAGACAATGAGTTGAAATCCGAATAATAATACTAAAACGATAGGCATGGCAGGGAGGTATCTCAAGTCTGTCTGCTTAACTTTTAGCTTAGATCCTGTTATTTTTATTAACTATACATAGTTTGAATTATTTTATTAATGTAAATTTCAAGAATGAGATTTAACGTCGAGAATAATAAAAACGTTTATGGCAGTGAGGACGAAAATGAAAATTAATGAACTATTATTTAAAATGGTCGCCTGAATGTTGGCTAACCCTGGCGAACCCATCTTGACCTTGACACATTTTTGCCGGGAGAATAAGACATTGCGACAAATACACAAGATGAGGAGAGATAGATAATAGATTGTCAACTCCACAGTCGTTTTTCGGATTGTTGACCTTTCGTATCGCTGCTAGTTGGCTGTACTTCATCTATACTTTAATTCATCATGGACTAGGGACTGCAGTCTTGGTCTCGGCAGAATATGCAATCGCAATGTTACCGAATTTGGTTGCTAACTCATAGCGATCGTAAGTTAACGATAATTGCAAGTCTCTACAGTTAGGTATATTGTTATTTGTTAGGCACGTACCGTGTGCAACTGTCAAATTAGGGATATTTGTTAGTTTCCTAGCGATTGAATTTGACAGCTTGGATAGGTTTTACGGAATGTATGATTAAATATATTGTAAAAAAGAAACATGAATTTTAGTAATTGAATCACAGATAACTCAATATTTTTTATTTTTAATTTCCTAATATTGATTTCGAGCTGTAATGGGATTAAATAGGATGGAGATGGAGATTTGAAATTGTCACAGATATAATAAATATAAGAAGAAATACTAAAAAACAACATTCTTAATGAAAAATTCTTAAAAATCCACTTTGTATGTATGTATGTAACCTATGACCTTTCGCAATTCGGGCGGTTGCTCGACCTAACAGAACTGTCGAGTTTTCAAACGCTTGTTACTTTTTCGCTACTGCAGATCAATGTTCAGACAATCCACTCAAATTGCCGTAAGAAATATTTTGAATTATAGTACCTTTCGCTTAAAAACAAATATTAAATTCCATCTCTTTCCTCGTTTCCGGTACGGCAGTTATAGTGTGAGAGTCCGACTCGCACTTGTCTCATAAATACAGTAAATAACAATCGTTACCGTATCATCAATTCGCCGATAGGTGGGAGCTCACAACGGACGCGCGTACGCAGAGGCAAGCGCGCGATGGATGGTGCGCGACGGTGTACGGCGTCAGACGGCCGCGTTCCGGAGCGGTTTCGGCGCCGTGTTTCCGGCACGGCGTCTCCGGGCCTTCTGTCCGGCGGAGCTGCGCCTGCTGCTGTGCGGCGAGCGTGGCCCCGTGTGGACCCGCGACCATCTGTTGCAATACACGGAGCCTAAGCTAGGATACACGCGCGACAGGTCAGTACAGTAACATACCAACTATTGTAAATAAATAAATATTGAACAATATCACTTAAATTGCTCAAATTCCAAGATGAGCAGCTAAAGCTACTGCTGCTTATGGAGCACCTCAAACAACACCCAGACCCGAAGCAATATAGATAACATCATGTTTTACATTAACTCGATTAGGAATCGAATCCGGGATCTCAAAAATGGCGACACCTAGAAACTATAGATTTAGATAGACTTATAGGAGCTGGAGAGCGACTGGTTAGTGCGTTCGAGCTGCGATACGAACTTAAGCAGCTTTCTCTAGGGCCGGTCGTAGGATAGGTGGCCAAACATTACTATCACGAACTCGTCCGTGTTTCGGAAGCCACTCGTTATCATAATCCGCAAGGGTCCGCGTGAGTCATTTTTGGCCTATTCTTTCTATTTGATTCGATACGATTCCATTCATAGGGAAGACCTGTGTCCCAGCAGTGTGAATTGTGCAGTGGGATTGTTGGTCTGTTGTTGAATTATAATATCTGTTGATCGATATGGGCACCATGTTCCTCAACAGTGAATAAATTTACAAGCTGATGATGATGATGAAAACTAATGCTGTGTTAATCTATAGTCCTGGGTTCCTGAGGCTGGTGGATGTTCTGGTCGAGATGTCAGTGCGTGAACGAAAGGCCTTCCTACAGTTTGCCACCGGCTGCAGTAGTTTACCACCGGGCGGGCTCGCTAACTTACATCCAAGACTCACCGTTGTGCGAAAGGTAAAATGTTCACTATTAATTGAATAAAATTCTGACAAAGCGCTGATTCAAAAATAAATACTAAAGGTAGCCATTTGATATAAAGCGCTATCTGTTAGCAAACTTTAGTCATACACTGTACTTATATGTTAGACCGTAGGTTGCATCTAGGGTTGCCAAATATTATTGGAAGAGAAATAGAATATACTTGATTTCAAAGGAAATAAATAAAGAGTACTGACTTATAAAATGAATAATAATAATAACAGTGTTTATTCATCTCATAAATACAATTTTTACATAGATAAGGCGACTGCTTGGTTTAAGTTTACAATATAAATATACGGCTGGTGCTTAGCATATGTACTAGCAAATTTAATAATTTCTGAATGTAAACTAACTTGGTTAGAAGTAAAATGATGTATTTACGATTAGCGCACTGTTTTTTTATTTTATTTTGACTTAATATGCGCGCGCGCGTGCTTAACACTCGCACATTTACTACACATTTCGTGATAATTCATGTGAAAGGTTCAATTAACGATTCTGTTTCTTCGCATGATATCATTTATTTAACATTCAGAAAAAAAGTTTTGTTTTTTTTTATTTTATTTATGATTATTATCATATTGTATGCGTCATATATGCGTTACTAGCACTACTAGTATAATAAACACGTTCTCTATTAGTGTTATTAATTATAAAGGCCTACATGATAGAGTACAATTCTTTTTTTAGAGCACGGTTGGCAACCCTAGTTACATCATATACATATTAGTTTGAAAGTAAAGGTTCCATGAACAGCCTAAAAACGAATAACAAGACGCGCGCAATCATTATTCTTTTAAATATTAATGTTTTGTTTTGAATTCCAAAAGGTGGACGCAGGCGACGGTTCATATCCATCGGTTAACACTTGTGTTCACTACTTGAAGTTGCCCGAATATTCGTGCAAGGAGGTGCTTCGCGAAAGGCTGCTCGCCGCTACCAACGAGCGCGGCTTCCATCTCAACTAGATACTGAATGTCAAAGGAATCAAAATAACACCTTATTACAGCTGGGGCTTTAATTACTTAAGCAATCTCCACTATTTGTAAAATACAAATAAAGCCCACGAACGCTAATGACAAATCTTTAAAAAACACCCGTTTTAAGGTCTGCTCTTGATTTGATTGACAGAATTTTATTTTTACGATAATGTTGTTCTAGCATGATTTTTAAGGTTTGCACATTTTAACACTGCATGATTACCACATGTTATTCGACAAATACGCTGGCCGCTGGAGTGGTGTTATAAATAAAATAATGCACTTTTCAACTATAGATTAGTTAATTCACAATGTTTGCTATAATTGTAAACACATAGTATGACTGACAAAATATCGATACAAATCACTATAATGTCAATATTGATAAAATGTATATTTTTGATTAAAATGATATGAATAATATAGTGTAAAATATATATAAAAAAGTTTTGGCATTTGATTTTTAATACTAATACAATAACCCGAAAGACATGAAGCCAATATTTTGAGATTATTTGTGACACATTCACCAGTAAAAATATGTATACAGCCTTGACAATTCGTGGCCCTTATGGAATATATAATAAGAACTATTATTGTTATATACATATTTTTATATCTGACTGTAAACTGTGTGTTATATAACTGTCGGCATCGTCTTGTTAAATAGTGGAATTCTTGTGTTTGTAAGGTAGAGGCTAATTTAAGATTGTTGAAAGTGCACTTTCGACTAGATCTCTTAAAAGTGTGATTTATATATTTCGTATAAAGTGTATATATTTACAATTCAAAAAATGTTTTGTCCTTAAAATGAAAGTTTATCCTAATTTTTATTTTTCATTTTCGTTTTAAATTTTATTTTAATTTACATTGGAATTTTGAGTTGTATTATTTGGTTTTCCCTATGGTCGCTGTCAATGCTTTAGACGTATGCTTAGGTCGTAATTGGCGAATTTATTCTTCCAACCGTACTAGTTTTCATTGGAGACAATATTTATAAGCTGACATAATAGGAATAAATCGATCGTTATGTGTTTAAATAATTTTGTGATGAAAAAAGTAGGTAGACATATTAATCAATTCTGCAAAAAAAAAGTGGTTTATGAGCTCTGAAGTTAATTTTTAAATATTTCTTTAACGCTTCTATTTCATTCAGTACTTAATATATATGATCTATAATTTTAACTTATCTATTATTTTGTACTTTCATGAAGAAAACTACTTTTAAACGGTATTATTACTTGTGTTTTAGGAAAATTATTTCATTTTTTCAGACTTCGGATCTTTTACCGATTCCGTGTCACTAAGACAGGTCTATTTTTTTTCAAAAATATAGGCCATAAAACCGTGAAAAAGTAGTTTTATTTAAGGAGTAGTATGTATGGAAATATAAGACACATTATGTTATTCAAAAGTTTTTTTAGAATACGTTTAGACGGCCTATATTTGTGCGCCACACATTTCGTACTAAACGATTATTAAAATGAATGCTTCCCTTTATCATCATGTTGCTTAAAACTAGTCTAGTGTTCCAAATGAATTTACTTATTACTGTTATATATGCCTAATTCAGTGTGATTGGAACTAAATGCAAATTCTATAAAAAATATAACTTCAGGGTGTGAAACACTTGTGTATTATTCGAATGATATTTGGCTACGTTCCTTTAGTTAAATAATTTGTCAACTGAAAGTTGATTGTGATTTACAATATTGAGTATGTATGAATAAAAAAAATATTTTAGATTGTTAGGTATCTATTTAATGTAATTTTATTAACAATTAAGCATCTTGTAGTGCTCGTATATTTGTTGTTGAGGATTGTATCAATAAACTAAGAGAAAATATGTGTTTCTTTTATTTACATTTACTGAAAATGTGTAAGTAAAAACAACTTTCAGCGATTACAGAGATAGACCAATCGGTGGCGCCATTTCGTAAACAAATCGAAATTAGTGCCGTGTTAGCAGAGAATTATTATGCTAAATGAACTTTACGAGATCAGTTGACTGTATTATATATAGGCATAATTTTATATGCGTGGTGTAGTTTCTTTGAGCAGAAATATTATTCCCTTAGAATACTTCTTTTTTTTAAATTTATTAATGACACAAACATACATTTAAAATTTTATTAAATGCTTTACTTTTGTTAATTTTCTGTTTATTCTTTATTATTACTTCTGTTGTCAAATATTTATCTATACTTATTAATTGTCTAAAAAAATTTGATAATGACAAATTTCCAGGTAAACTTTCATCCCCTATTTTTCGCGATAACATGAAGCCTATGTCCTTTCTTAAAGTTAAGTCTATTTACTATATTAATTTCCATTTAGATGGGTTCAGTTGTTTAGGCGTCTAAGCGTAACAACACTTATTTATCTTACCTTAACGGGGATTAAAAATGAAAATCTTCCGATTGATCTTTCGGGGGGTAATACGTTCCGTGAAGTGCCTGGTCTGAAGATTGTGCCTGTACCATACCATTTGAGACATGCGTAACGTAGTGAAAGCTTTTTTGCGGCAGGAGCGTGCCTTTCTCGATTTTATCAACTTAGACTACAACACTCGATTTTTTCAATTATAGATTCACTTTTATAAAAATTCACTTTTCATATAAATAAATATCCAGTCAGCCCGGCAGTGTTACGAAGACTTATCTTGGAAATTAAGGAATCTGTCATTTTTCCATTGTCATCTATTTCATAACGGATTGTTGATTAAGGTAAGTTACGTGATACTTGACGCATAAAGAGTTCATTTCAAAATCCAAAAGGGTGGCGCCTGCCAGATTGGTGGACCCGAGTAAAACAGCTTTGACTCGCTTCTAAATTAAAATACATAAATAGACCCAGAACCATTTTTGGTTTTTATACTGAAAAGTTTATCTTTAATAACAAGATAATTATGTGATCAAAATGTGTTTTGTTCTGTTAATAAAATTTTATCTTTATTTGAGAAGCTTTATTGTTAATAAATAAGCAATAAAACTGAAACAATATGGCTTCGATTACACTCAGTGTTCTTGATCCTTCAACCCGCAAGGGGACTCTACACCGTGAGGAGAGGGCTGAAATGGGAACATCGGCACGGTAAGACTAAAAATTATGTAGAGCCAAGCTTCTAACTCTACATGCCCTAACTCCACAACCACAACACTTCATAAACTACATCTTATTTAAAAGGTGGCTCTGCCGTTTCGCTACCGTCAATTGGACATAAAGTGGAACTATTATTCTCCGTTCACGTTTTTCTGTTATATGATATAGTTTTTGACAGTGCGAGTCATATGGTATAAACTCGGCATGGCAGCACTACATGAAATTATTTTTGGTGGGAGTTTTAAACTAGAGATGCGCCGAATAGTGGTTTCAGCGAATAACTGAATACCAAATATTATTCGGTTTAACCTTTACCGAACCGGACATTCGGCCGAATTATTTCTTTGCCGCGTGAACAAGTTAAAAATAAATGTTCATTTAAAGTTTTATTGCTTTATTTTATTAGCTTTAGTGAACACATTCTTCATATGATTTCTTTGACTTATAAATCTCACATAAGTAGTTTTGTCTTACAGTTCTATACCGTGTCGTGATCAAAACCAAATAATTAATTCGGCCAAATAAAAATACGAAAAAGATGCCGTTTATGTCGAATACCGAATATGAAACCAATATTCAGCGCATCTTTAAACCTTTATAATAGGGTTGACGACTGGGTAAAAAAAGAAATTGTATGTAGTCTGTCAGTAAGATAATAATACTTATCTAAAAATACGTATTTTTTGCTTAAATTTAAACAAAAAGTGCCTTAGACAATGGGCATTTAAGTTGAGGAGTGGCTTGCTATGTCAGTTTTGTAGGAAATGCACAAAAGCGTGACGTCATGCTACATTTCAACTCAACGTATCGCCGTTGCTTATTGATTAAGCAAAAAAATAAAAAATACATATTTAATATTCTTCAATATTCTACCTGATGGAAAAACAAACAAAAGTTTGTCGTCATCCCTATTCGTATGCATTTATCTCATATAAAAAGTATTTTCAGTGATGTTAAGCTGTTTGTATTTGAAGAACTTTTTTTTTACAGTTGACTAAAAATACCTATAATGGCGTCAGAATTGTCCGGGAAAAATGGGATCGTCTGTCACCAGGCTGCATCGAATGAACCGTGATAGTTAGTTAAACTATTCACATATGATATAGGTATTTCTGTCGCCGCTATAAAAATAAATAATATAAATATAAAATAATAGTCCTTCGTGCACGAGACCGACTCACACTTGGCCGTTAAAGAAATAATGTTTTTTTTTGTATTTTCATTTTAGATACAAGCAGGTAGTAGGTATTTCAACATAACACGCATAAAATCATAGTTTATCGCTTTATTTATACATCTCCCTTAATTAAGTGAATAATGTCTTTTGTAGGTATATGTTAAAAATCCAATGATTAAGAACATACAGGTGTAGGCTTCATTCAGTTAGTCCATAATAACTACTCATAATTTAAAGAAAATTATAAATTGGGACGGTTTACATTTTGAACTTGAAGAGTTTGAATGATCCTATTATTGGATATATAAATACAAATATTATATAACATCACCTACATTGATTGTTTAGATTCCAAGAGCTAAAGCTCTCGTATCATGGAGTATCTGAGACAACATAAGGTTACGACATCCAGATTCGAGACAATATAGACAGTCCATTTCTACATTGACCCGACTGGGAACCGAACCCGGGACGCCAGAGATGGCGATGCCTTGAAACCAGCGTGCGAATCACTTCGCTTCGGAGGTCGTATACACCGACATATATATTTTTTAAGTCGTTTAATTGAGCATCTATATCGGGTGTAATTAAAGACTTTACGAAGATATGTAATTAATATTTCAGGTGATTCCTAATGTAGATGCGTCTACCAGCCTCGATCCGACCTTTATACATTTTGTATGAGGATTACAGTTACCGAGTATGTGGA